TGGAAGCAGAGACATCGCAGTTCCAGTGAGAATATGCAGGTCGTGGTCTTGGTTTCTAAAACCCACTCCACTGTAAAATGAACCAGGACTCCTTGGGGAAGAGGTTGACCCCAGGCCTGAGATAGGGAAAACAGAAGATAAGGAATTGCTTAAAATAAATTGAAACTCATAAAAAATGGCGTGGGTCTGTTGAAGGGGCACAGGTGCCAGTTTGAATTAGTTCCTTGTGACCAACGCTGGAACCATTTGGACATCAAAATAAGTAATGGGAGTATTGGCCCAAGACCCAAAGAATGAGTAAATGCTTATGGCAGATGTCACATAATATGACAATATTAGTAAATAATAAATACATGAGTTCATGAATAAATAAAATGGGGAAGAAGGAACAGCTTTTCGTTAAAGAAGAACTGTAATTGCATATAGAAGGAGTGAGGGAAATGAGAACTCACCATTAGAGCACAGCAGTCATCTTACAGCAGTGACAGTCTGCCAGTGAAAGCTAATGGCGAAAGTTTAGAGAGAGACAGACTGGGTCGTCCCAGTGTATCTTCTCTAAAATATTTATTACCACATAGGGGAAAGTAGTAAATTTTTAATTGGGAAACTCAGCAGACACTGCCTCAATCAAGAGATCAAGAGATCCCCGGTACCTACATATTACACCTATCTAGACATTACACCATGCTGCTCCCGGCCTGATAGAGACGAGACTTACCCTCTGTGACGTTCTTCCCCAAAAGCCAAGATTTCCATCTAATCACACGACGCAGCCATGCCCAGACTTGGGGCCAGTCTATAAATACTTGCTTGACCTGTCCTCTTTCTGGTCATGAAAGATAAGAAAAGCCCCCAAAACTGCTGCAAATAGAAGACAACCTACACACATTGTAGAATGCTAAGCTTTTTGAAAAGGTACATTAGTGGGAAAACTGGTGAAATTTTTTTTTTAAGATTTACTTATTTATGCATACAAGAACTGGGGTATAGGCCAGAGATGCTGGGAGTGAGAGAATTCACCAGAGACTGCGTAGGAAGCAGAACATGCATATGGACTGAAATATAGTACTAAGGGGAGCAGCGGGGAGACAGGAGAGGTCTGCTGCTCCATGTGGTCAGCTCCTTGGTCGTGCGGCAGGGCTTCGGACAGCTTCATAGTGCTGGGCTTTAACCCCCTGTGCTACCAGGGAGGCCCCAAAACTGATGAAATCTTAATTGAAGTCCATGGTTTCAGTGTTACTTAGTTTTGATGATTATGCTAATATAGTTACGTGAAATGTTCCATCGGGGGAGTTCTTTATTGTTGCAACTCTCTGGAAATCTAAAATTGTTTCCAAATTGAAAGTTAAATAATGTCAAAGTGAATCCAGTGTTACATAAGCTTTATCACAGAGGAACGGCAAGGAAATTTTCCGAGGGACATAGCAGCCATCAGTTCAGGCACTGACTCCCAGATCAGATGTTGAGAGAAGACATTTAGCCTAGAAGGGCGCTTCTTTGTCAACAAGGCCAGCCCAGAGCTGCTGCTAGCGTGAGAGAGAGGAACGCGCAGTGGTTATCTTCATGATACCTTCCAAAAGTCAGATGATAAAGTGGGTTTTTCATTATTCTCTTGTTGTGAGACGCTGTCCTGTGCTTGCATGGTGGTGGAAGTGTGTGTTTTCATGGAGGGATGAGTGGATGCAGTTGGCGTGAAAAGCAGTCATCATTCCATGGGAACGCATGGCCACAAGAGCGAGCGCGCCGTTTTCGTATTTCGTCCCTCTCGCTCACCCTTCGTTTCACTACATGATTTAGGCAAAAGCTGCAGACTGTAAGGAAGCAAATTATCCAGATTCCCGTGAAGAAACAGACTTACTTTAAGTGCCTTTCCTTTGCCACTGCTTAAACCTGGCAATTATTAACTTGCTCAAAAATAGCTACGCACCACCATGCCGGGGAAGGCCAGAAAGGTAGTAGTTAACAGTGCTGGCTCTAGGCATACTTAGTTTCTGTTCCAGTTCTGTTCTTTATATACCCTCTAGGAAGGCCCTTGCCTTTCTCTTCTCACTTTCTCCCAAGATAAGCATCCTTTGTGGGGTTATTATGAAGAAATCATTTTTAGGCAGCTTAGGTCAGCTTCTAGCACATGGTAAGCACATTTAAATGAAATGCCAGCGTATTCATTCAGCAGACCTTTAGTGAACAGCTGGTGTCTATAGACAGCATCTAAGTTCTGGGCATACAGACACGTATCATTGCCCCCTCCTACTCCCACCCCACCCCCCAACTCCAGGGATTTAGGATAGGGAAAACAGATAAGTAAAACAAAAAGAATCACTATTCTCTTTCTGTTCTCTTGAGTAGCCCACTCAATAACTACTACTTACTGCACACCAACTGTGTTTCAGTAGCTTGTGTAAAGCATTATATATAATCAAAGTGGTAATACCTATGCAGTATTTAGCATCTACATCTATAGTTACTTTTATAGAAGAACTTTAAGAAGTATAGATAGTGTTCCAGTTTTGCCAGTGAGGAGACTGCGGTTCAGAGAAGTTAGGTCAGTTGCCCAAGGTCACCCAGCTAAGTTGGAAACCGGAAATTGATCCCTGTCTGCCTGACGCCACAGCCTTCCTTGATCCATATGTCAGATGATAATGGTACGATACATAAGTGCCCGAAGTGGTTTGCAGAAGACACTTGTCTATCTGCTGTACTCGTTTTAGCGGACCTGATTGTCTTCAGTGTTTCTTTTAATGTTCCTGCAGCTCAGGTTCCTAGTTTGTTCAGTTACCTAGAGGAAATAAAAGTCAGCCACTCCTTTGCACCACTTTCGTAAGACAACGGGAAGCTTTCATTGTCCAGGATGCATAAAGCTGTGGTTGAGTCTTGGCTACCACAGGCCTGGTTCTTCTTCTCATGCCTATGCACCTGCATGGGAGTGAGCCTCAGGCAGAAAGAGGCAGCTTTCTGTCCCAATCACTGCTCTGAGTCCTTCCTGGAGTCTGGGGAAGGTGGGATGAAGGAACTCTCTAACAGTCGGTGAGACGGTCAAATTCTACAATGCTATTTGGAGAGTATCCTCAACTTGTGCTAGAACTCATCCTGTGATTATGGGTTAAAGTATAGCAATTATCGTACCTATTTCAGGATCTCCAAACACATCCCAGAGCTGCTGGTGCTTTTCTGTGTGAGTGAAATTAACATTGCCCTCCTTGAATGTAATTTGAACATCTAGTCCTTGGCTCACTTGAGAACTAGAGAGTACAGTTTTTCTAGAATACAAGAAACATGTATCTCTGTGAGCATATGCGTTATGATGTGGTGTGAGTAGGTAGCCGTGGAGACAGGAGTGAGTCAAAGGGCTGAGACCGCTGACAGTGATTTTGGAAAGAGACTGTGGGACTGAACTGCCTCGAGTCGGCCGTGAGAGCTCTTGGGGCCTCCGACTCCCGGCACCATGCAGGCCAGTGCTGTGCTACCAAACCCAGTAGCTGCCCAAGGCACCTTCATTTCTGGTCTGGACCCTTCGACTCCCACCATGCTTTTCTTGCTCTTCCAGTATATTTCCTCAGAAGGCTTTTCTCTGAAAGGCCAGTTGGTAATGACTATGCCCCAGGCATTTTACATTTTTAATCATATTTAATCTGCACACTGTCCTTTCTGGGTAGGTGGATGTCCCCACTCTTGTTTATAAGATATGAGAACTAGGTTTCAGGAAAGTCAAATAACTTAGCAAGGAGGATTTGAAGTTAGGCAGGCCTGGAAATCAGCTCCATTGCCCCCCAACTTCATGGTTCCTGCTCTGCCAGGAAGCTGTGGTTGGAGGCTGTAGCTGTCAATGTTACTATCTCTTGCCACCAGTTTTTATATCAGCTGGCTAGAAGAACCTTCCACCTCAGATACAGATGTGTGTGTGACCTCAGCCTGTGAACAGAGCTGGGGTTTGTGTAAACTCAGTGGAGCCCCACAGCAGCCTGCTGCACAGCTGGGGAAGCTAAGTCTCACAAAGGGATTGGTGGCGTGGCGCCTCGCCAGTCAGCCCGGCACTGGAGACTGCTAGGCCCCCTCGGGCCCCCACAGCTCTGCTGTGCTCTGGCTGGGTGCACAGCTGGTTCCTGTGTTCTTCAATCAGGAGCATATGATGACACTGGACAATGTGACTGTAACTTAGAAAATAGTAGGAATCTGTTTCTTAAGGAAGAACAGAGATTGAAAGCTTAGCAAAAGGGCACCAGCTTGCACCTGGACCAAAGCTCCCAATTTTCATGCACATTGAAACGCCCTAGTACAGTGCTTCGAGGCTGCAGGCTACCGATGAAGCTGGACACTCAGGCTGACTAGTAACATCAGAGGAAGGCTGTTAGCTGGCAGTATAGTGCTGCTGCCTTCCATAAATGAGAAATCAGTGGAATAGTGGTCGGTGGCTTGTGTGCAGCTCTCACGTGGTAATTAGAGCTGGTCAGATGGCCATTGCCAGAATGAGGATGTAGAGCCAACACTTAGAGTTGTTCCTTGGGAAACTCTACCCCGTGCCTAAAAGGTCTGTGTCTTGCCACCCTGGGGTCACGACTGTGGGAGCAGCCGCCTCTCGGCTGTGTTTAGGTCACTAGTCCAGGGTGGTGCTCGTTTTTGTCTCTTACAGACCATGTAGGAGAAAGTGCTCTTCATTGTGGAGTAATGGAAACTCAAAGATTATCCACACCAGTTTTGTTGTCCACAGCTCTTAAAATACAGGATTTTTGAGGTCTTTTCCAAATTCTTATTCATTCTCTGCAAAAAAAAAAAAAAATGTGATTCTGTTTACACATTCAATCAACAAATATTCCTTGGAATACTTAATATTTGCTAATCATTATACTAAGTGCCCATTAAATATCACAGAATAGATGTCATATCATTCCTCACAGAGTAAAGAGTAATGATCGTGTTAATACAGCATCATAAAATTTGTTACAGAGAAATTCTGTGTCATTTGAGAGCACCAATGAAAGTAACATTTATCTCCATCCCAACAGATTTCGGTTTCGGAAATTTCTTTAAAAGTGGCGAACTTCTGGCAACATGGTGTGGCAGCCCCCCTTACGCAGCCCCTGAAGTCTTTGAAGGGCAGCAGTATGAAGGGCCGCAGCTGGATATTTGGGTATTGCTCTCTCTTGCTGTGTTTACTGCATCTATAATGGGAATACTTGGTATTCTGCTCCCTCTTCTCAGCTCTTGTTACCTGACAAATAGTTCCGACTTTCCTGGGTTGCTGAACTGTAATTAGATTCTGGGGAACTATTTCTAGGGACAGATGTTATCATTCCAGTATCAGCAGTAACTTAAAGTTAAGTAGTAATTAAAATAAATAAATTCAGATCTCTTGATATCTAGTTCCTTACTATAATATTTTATTATAGTTAGGTTTTCAGATCTTTTTTCAAGTTCTGAGAAAACGGTACATTTAAAGCAGGAATTCACTAGTCCATAGATTTATAGAGCTTCGTGGATGTTTAGGAAAACAGTATCTGAAATTCTCAGGAGGAAAAAAGACTGTGTTGTTTTGTTCCGTAGAGCATGGGAGTTGTTCTTTACGTCCTTGTCTGTGGAGCGCTGCCTTTTGATGGACCAACTCTTCCAATTTTGAGGCAGAGGGTTTTGGAAGGAAGATTCCGGATTCCGTATTTCATGTCAGAAGGTAACAGCCTCCTTCATTGTGCTCTACAGATTCTATGCTCCAAATGCAATGCCTCAGCAGGAACTTCCCTTGTTCTGTGAGTTTAGGTGCCAGATAAGTTGACTGAGTTACAAAGCTACAGAAATAAGCAGCCCGCTTCATGTGGGTAAGAAAAGTTGCAGCCTTCCTACTGGTGACTGAAAACAAAGTTTCTCACATTACGAAGAGCAAGTCCTTCCATTTACTCTTGTTTTGTGTATGCCCCAGGGCTATTTTAGATTTAGAGGAGCACTTTGTAGATACAGATTCACAACCATTTTACTGTAACTATGAAGTGGATTTCCCCATATTCTTTGGCAGGATGTTACAAAATTTAAATTTTTATTTAAATTAAAAACCAACTGGCAAAGCTATTGATTTAAGATGAGATACCATAATCTCTACCAATCTTATATTAGGTTGTTACATTGAAAGCAACACAGTTAAGTGTCCCTATTAGCTTAGTTTTGGGTTATCATTAACTCTTTGGTGCCTAGTAACAGTGAAACATGCCCTTGCAGTTAAGAGCATGGAGTCTCGAGCCAAACTGCCTAGGTTTAGGCCTCAGTCCACACTTGCTGGCTGTCTTCCTTTGGCAAGTTCCGTCTCCTTTCTGTGCTTCAATTTGCTCAGTCTATAAAATGGAAATAACAATAGTTCCCAATAGGGCTGTGGTGAGGATTAATTAAATTAAGCTGTGTGAAGCCCAGAGCCAGTGGAGCACGTGCAGGGGGTTAAAGGGCACTGAGTGGGCCCAGAGCGCAAGCTCATGCCCAAGGCTGCAGCGGGGCAGGCTCTTGGTGTCGTCAGCGTAAATAGTGCCCACATGCATGTTTCTCAGCTGCGCTGTGGGGAAAAGCCACAGTCCACTGGGTGCCGCACACGCAGCCTGCGTGTGTCAGCTTCAGAAGTGGCTGCAGATCCCTTTAGTCTTTTGCTTGTTCTGGGGATGAGGCTTGTTTTCCTTTAGTGGGAATCTATGTCTGTGTCTAGATGTTTTCAGTTGAGTAATTCCATAGAAAGGTTCATTTAGCACAGAATTGGATACTCATTCCTTCTATTTTTCTCAAGTAGTCATTCTTTGTAATGGTTAATTTTATGTGTCAACATTGACCATGTTTTCATTTCCTCATTTGACCTTGGCTCTCTAGCAGACACTGCAGAGGAGGTTAACACTGTGCACAGAGTCCCACAAGTCAAGGAAATAGACCAACATGTAAGGCGATTTGTGTGACTTTTGTGACATTGTGTTTTGCACAGATTGTGAACACCTTATTCGAAGGATGTTGGTTCTAGACCCGTCCAAACGGCTAACCATAGCTCAAATCAAAGAGCATAAGTGGATGCTCGTAGAAGTTCCTGTACAGAGACCGGTTCTCTATCCACAAGGACAAGAAAATGAGCCTTCCATCGGGGAGTTTAATGAACAGGTTCTGCGACTGATGCACAGCCTTGGAATAGATCAACAGAAAACCATTGAGGTAAACGGCGAGAGGTTTGGTTAAAGGTGTTTCAGGGTTCTGGTGTACTTGGTAACTTGAACTTTCAGGCTCACACCAGTCAACCCGGTCTTGGCGCAGGGGCGCCCCCAGTCCCTAAACACATTGCTCCCTTCCCTGGAGGTGACATCACACTCCAATTATGTTGGCTTTGAGTTGATGCGTACTGTCCTCCCTTTGTCCCACCGCTTAAAGATTCAGGAAGGGAAGACTGAGAAAAGCAAAGATGAGAGCTTAACCAAAACAAAGAGAAAGTTTCTTCCAAGGTGAACATAAAGTTTTATGTGGGTCATAAACTAGTTTTATGGAACATAAATGTGCAGACACAGGACAGGCCGAGACTGGGCAGGAAGCAAGAACAGAGGCGTTGGGTTTAGGAAAGCTGGGGGATTTAGCTCATGAACTGGAGAAACTGAGAAGGCAAAAACAGGTGGATTCCTGATTTGGAAGGATTATGGGTCATAGAGCTGAGGTCACGAACCTGGGAAATTCCTCTTGGCTTTTTTTCCCCTGCCCTGTAATCTTTAGCATGTGCACAACATATACATATTTTTAATACCTCCACACTGTAAAAACAAACAGTGTTTTTAAGGAGGAAGCATAATCAAAAAGGATAAAAATGCCCTCCTGTTTACTGTGAAAACCAAACTTGAAACTTGTGCTGCCTCTTCCTTCATCATGGCCATAAGTGAAACCGAGCCGGCCTTCCTGCTTCGCTCCTTGTGGGCCGAGGCCGTGTCTGCCCGCGTCCGGGAGGGGGGCCCAGCGGGAGCTGCACCTGTGGAATCCCAGCTTGTGCCTTTTGCCAGGGGCCCCCAGCGGTGCATGTGCAGAATGTCAGATGGGATGAGAAGCCGGAGGAGCAGCTCCTCTGTTCCACGAGCGTCTGGGAAAGCTGGCCAAGCAGGAATGTGCAAAGTTGGGAAGCAGCTTATTTTCAAAGATTCAAGAGGGTGGGACTACAAAAACAAGAGGAAAAAATTACCTAAGCATGGAGACACAGTGTCTCTCCATCTAGCATCCAAGTACCATTCTCCAGCCCAAAATAATCACCAGAAAGTTCCCCAGTGACTAATCATTCATTCAAAGTTTTCAATGGTTTGGACTTTTGCTCAAGCTGTGGACTCAGATCCTCTGGGCTGAGGTTGCTAAGTGACCTTACACCATAGTTACCGCGATGAGATGGGACTGCCCGGCCCCATTGGGGAGTGTCTGTGTGAAACAGTGATGGCCCTTACTCTGGGTGCAGTGAATGGGTCCTGTTCAGGTGAAAGGCCAAGTCTGAGAGGTATCACAGTTTATGTGAATCTTGCTGGGGGCCGGCAGCGTCTGTTGTCCATTCGAATTCATTTTGAGCACACACTTCCTTTGTTTTCAGAACACGTGACTTCTTCCCTTTTTTTTTTTTTTTTTAGAAAGGTGTAGATGTTTGGATTGATTCTTACGGTTCTCTGCCTTCGGCACTTGTTCTCTCTTTCAGTCTTTAGAGAACAAGAGCTATAACCACTTTGCTGCCATTTATTTCTTGTTGGTGGAGCGCCTGAAATCACATAGGAGCAGCTTTCCTGTGGAGCAGAGACTCGACGCCCGCCAGCGCAGGCCGAGCACCGTAGCTGAACAAACAGTTGCCAAGGTAACGCCCCATTAGCCAATAGTCTCATCCATGCATGTGCCTTTTCACATGTTTGACACATTTTTCATCTTGTGGTACAAAGGGTTAGGATTTCATCCTCTACTCTGTTTTTCTACAAAGTTCTGCCTCTGTCATTTCATAGATTCTCAAATGCCTTAGGACCTTCCTGTTTTAAGGATTAACTTTATTTCAAAACATTCTTTGAAGAGATTTTTCATTATTTTATTCTCTCATGTGAATTCTCATAAGAATCAGTGTAGCTCGCCCGTACATTGACTTTCATTTAACAAGTTGTTATTGCAGATTTACCGTGCGCAGGCTTTCATTATTCAGCACGCTGGGGGGTAGGAAATAGAAAACACAGTTACTGCCCTCAAAGACATGACTATATAGAAGGAAAATAAGATAACATCATCAGAAATAATTGTTAATCATGATAGAGAAAGATAAGTGCTCTAGGAGGACTAAGGGCAACAGGTATGGCTGATGGGGAGCCTGAGAGGGAGAGGCATTTAGAAAGATCCTCACAGGTGTGGGCGTGGTGAGGGAGAGGCGGGAGTCAGCTTGAGTGCAGGCGCTCAAGTGGGCATGTGGGGGCCTGTTAAAAGTAATCCGCTTGAATTGAAGTGTAGGGAAATGAGAAAGTTGGAGTGGTAAGTTGAAGTCTGTGGTGAAGGGCTGTGAACGCCAAGGTAGAGAATTCACTTCCAATTCAGGAAATAATGAGGAACCGCTGCAGACTGTGAAGCAGAAAAGGGACGTAATATCCATGCTTTAAGCTAATTAATCTGTAACGTCGAGAGTGATAGATTGATAGGGAAGAGAAGAAATTTGGGCAGAACAGTGAAGAGATTATTACAGTTGTCGAGACAAGAGGTACTAAAGGCTTGAACTAAAGTGTTGGAAGGGGCAAGAAGTATTAGGACTGTGTCAGAAGTGGACTGTTGGCACTTAGTGCGTCAGAGAGGCAGCTCTTAACAGTGTTCCTATTGGAACGGAAAAGAGTTTCACACACGAGTAAACAGTGTTTTCATTTTAATAGTTGGGAAGTACAGTCAGAAAAAGAGACTCGAGCTAATAAACATATGGTCTGAAATTTCGTCACGGTTAGACAGGAGCACTGTGACCAATCCTGAAGCAAAGCGGCCTATCTGCTCCCTCAGGGTGTTCGTCAGCCGTCTCTCCGTTCCAGCAACTTCTCCTCAGTCAGCACTGCAGCACCCAGCGCGCTGTGTGTGTATTTACAACAACCTCGTTCCAAAGACTTCTTTAATGTCCTCAGTGATTGCAAGAATCCTGAAAAGCAGATCCCAGCACCTATCATCTTACTTCTTATGAAGTGATTGTTACCAAAAGTATGTCATTCCTCTGTCCTTCCCAAGTTCACAGTAAGCTGACTTAGTCCAGGGTGGGTGTGAAAGTTGCCCTGAAATGTGTGTTCCCCCTCATCTGGCACAGCACAATGTACCATGTGAAAAGAGGCAGGGACCGAGGAGAGAAGCATGTCGCTGTCGTGTTGACTCGCCAGAGCAGTATCTTCAGTGATGCTTTGCCCTAGTAATTTCCTTTCCTATAGCAGAAGCAGTTAGTAAATTTGAGAAACAGAAATCAAAGTTCAGTTTTATCATTTGATTGAAAACCTAACAAGGGTAAGAAGAATGTTACAAATAAACTACATTAGAAATTTTCACTTTATGACATGGTGCTAAAAAAGTTTTAATTTAAATGATTCTGCTTGAAAGGGAAAGAAAGTTGTTTGGCCTCTAAAGTGACCTAAGATGTAAACCTCTGAGGAATGATCATATATGAAAAGCTGTTTCTTTGTGGTGCTCAGAATAGTTTACAGTGTATCTTTTATTCTTTATCACATACTACATGTCTAAGGATGTTGATATCAGAATATACCCATTATAAAGTATAATCTGAATGTATTCAGATTATTGTGTGTATGTGAGAGAGATGTTTGTAATGCATTGCCCTCATCCTTGAAAACCATCAACCTGACACATTTTAACTAGATCATTAGAAGGCGTCTGAAAACAAAACTCTGCATTCATCATGCAGTCTAATTCGTACATTAAAATGTGCCTGTGATTATTTTAAAAACTTTGGAAAGAAGGGGAAAGGAAGAATTAATATTACTGAGTTGAAGAACTTAAACTCCCTCAATGTGAACTTCACTGTGAAGTAGGTATTTCACCCTTTTTACAGAAATAAGACCCAGAGAGATGGTCGGTAGCCTGGTGAAGTCCCCACAGTTAGTAAACGGTGGGGCCAGGAAGGAAGCTCACATCATGGGAAAGAAGCTAGAATCATGCCATTATGTTTCTTCCCATTTGTTGGAACTGAAAGCTCCCCATTCTGTATCCCTCAGAGTGACTGAAGCATAAAAAACACAGGCCATCGCTGCCTTTCAGAGCCCGCACGAGGATTTGTTCCTGCAGGGGCTTGCAGTGTCCTGTTAATAAGTTAGTCTGCTACTTTGAGGAGGTGGGAGGAACGGATTACCCAAGATTCCTCTTTGAAATCAATGCTTGCCAACTATCAGGAAGGAATTTTTAATTCTTTCTTTAAATGATTTTTTTCCCAGAAAGTTTGTTGTGCTGAGACGTCCCCCACCTTCTTCCTCTTCACACGTGCCCTGGTCCTGGTGCCCTCATCCCCTGCCTTGCAGCTGGCTTTTATTCCTACATTTTATGTTTTAGGGGTAGTTGTGGGTGTACATTGTTCCCTGGTTCCGTTTTGAGCTCCTGGAAACCGGGACTGTTCTCTACTTTAAGTTTTTCTAGAGTAATGTCATTAAGAAAACAGATAACGTATGTTTGTTGAATTGAAAACCTTTTGCCGTGATCTGTATGAAACGTAAGGATCTTGCCATGGGGAGGAATGGAGTTCTGTAAACCCGTCTCAGGATCAGGTTGCTGAGGCTGCCGCACCCCGACAGCTGCGCTATATATGTGCTTTGTCAGTTCTTTTCTAGAGTTTCTGACAAACGGCTGTCCTTTTATCGCACCAGGCAGAATTCTTTTCTTCCAAGAATTTTGTGTATTTTTCGAGTATAATTTTTTTTTAATCTTGCCTAACTGTCCTTGCCGTGTTCCAGGCGCAGACGGTGGGGCTCCCGGTGACCATGCATTCCCCGAACGTGCGTGTGATGCGCTCTGCCCTCCTCCCACAAGCGTCCAACGTGGAGGCCTTTTCATTTTCAGCGGCCGGCTGCCAGGCAGAAGCGGCGTTTATGGAGGAAGAGTGTGTGGACACTCCCAAGGTAAGTGGGCGCGAGGCAGCGAGGTTGGCTTGGGGCTTTCAGTTCGTGTTGCACTGTGGCTCTGTTGAACTTTCTCATTTCTGCACGTCGTCAACAGCGTTAGCTTGTAAACAGTGGCCCCTTTCCTCCTCCAAGTGTCTAGATCCCCTCATGACTTCGGGAATATTTTTTGAAAACAAATTGTAATTCCGCCCACAAAATACGACTGTTGTGCTAAGCTGTTCGTATCGCCCCTTTCGTGTGCGCTGCAGCTAAACATGACGACATCTTTTTGATCATTTAAATGTCTTTTTTGGTCTGGTTTGAATGTGCTTGAAGGAGAAAAGTTTATTCTGGGGAAATGTGAAAAGTTAAAGTTTCAGCATGTGGAAAATGCGACCACTCTCATTTAATGGACAGTCACCTGGCTTCTTATGTGTGTTTTAGACACTTAGCGTCACGTGACGTACAGAGCATCATCTTCATGACATGTGTCATCTGAGGACACAGGTCTTGGAGTCTGTGTTCTTTACTGCCTCGAGAACTTGGGCAAGATGACCAGCTTCTGTGAACCTCAGTTTTGTATAAAATGAGACCTTTGTGAGGATTAATGAGTGTGAGGTTCTGGGAAGATTATAGCGAATGAATACCAGTTTCCTAGGCTTTTAACTTCTAGGTAATGACAGAGATGAGTCAGACATGAGTTCTGCTCTCAGTTCATGGTCTAGCAGAGAGACAGTGCCGGGAACTAAAGGCACTGGACCGGGCAGGAGACACTGGTAAAATAGCTTAAAGAGCTGTCAGCCACAGAGCTCCAAGGCAGGCGCAGGCCACTGCTTGTAACTGGCTCCAGCGGGAAAGTGAGAGGTGGGAACTAAGAGGCAGACAGAGCGAGATGGCAGGAAACCAGGCTGAGGTGGGGACCGCTGAGCCCGGCCGGCCTTGGGTAGGATCCGGTCTGAGTCGAGCAGCAGCTCACTGCGTCTACAGGGGAGGAGGAAGAAGCATTGTACAGAGGAAACACAAATGGGTTAGCTTTGAATGGCCAGCCGAGGAGTTCTGGACATTTTTCTCGGCTCTGGGACTCCCAGCCTGGGAACATCTTTCAGTACAATGCAGTGATTTTTCTAAATGTCCTGCTCTGAGGTTGGAAGAGCTTTGATCAAGGAAGCTCTGTCTTCCATCTTGAGAGTCAGAAATTAGTCTGGAAGAGCACATCGCCCACATGGGGACAGAGGACAGAGACCAGGGAGGTGAGGGGACGGCAGGTGTCCGTGACGGCCTGAGCTAGCAGTGTCTTTGACGCTGGGAGAAGGTGCTCCAGTACAGTGGTGCAGGCAGACTGGACCGAGGGTCAGCATCCTAGCGAAGTTCACAGTGACAGCAGTATTTTGAGCCCGGATGGCTGGGAGGGTGAATGACACTATGAGACCCAAGAGGCAGAGGCAGAGGCAGAGCTGACCAGAAGTTAGTTGCGGGTTTAGCGAGAACATGACTGGGGCCGCTGGGTGCCAGGCTGCCCACGCAGGTGTTGAGCCGAGTTGCTGGCCGAGAGGGGTTAGTGCCCAGGCCCCTGAGCACAGTCTGTTTCCTCTGCTACCAGCATGTTCTGCAACCTTATAAACTGCTACTACGTCCTCACCCAGAAATCTAGACACAAATTGGGACAACATAATTCATTTACTTTTAAGATCTAATTCCTTTCAAAAAATTAAAATGCAGTCTGCTAAAACTTGTCTGGGAGGGCATCAGGCCCAAAACACAGATTGGGCCCTGTCTGCTGTATTATATAGGGCAAGCTATTTTTAAAGCTTGTGATTGTTACCGTAACTAGGAAACAGACAGGAAATGAATGATTTTGTGAAAGATACAGACAGTAGCTAGATGGTGTATTTGCATTTGGAGGAGGAGCAGTGCCACGCTGGAACCGGCCACCCACGCTGGCAGTGCCACCCCGGCATCTAGCCAGGCCCTAGACGCCGCCAGTCTATTTGTAGACCATTTCAGTGATGTCAGCAAAATCGCCTGTCCCTCTTTCGCCCAAGAGCCTCTTTCTGTGGGGACCACACCAAATTATCCACAGAAATGAACACCAGCTCTCCTTTGCTGCTGGTGCTGTGCCGTGTGCCATAGCCAGCGCCGTGGGTTGTCTCTGTGCGACAGCCCAGGGAGCGGTACGGCTCAGTGGCTAGTCACTTCTACTCAGTAGCAGGCAGCAGGCCCCCAGAGACCTCCCCGCCCCTTCCCTACAGAAGCGCTCCCATGCTGAATCCCTCAGGGAGCCTACATGCTAAGTTGGGGTTGGGGTCAAACTAGCACCTGTTTGGGACATGACCGTGTGGGGCCCAGGCACTGAGCCTGCTGGCCAGTCTTCTCTTTGGAGGGTTCCTTGGGAATAATGAATTTTTTAAACACACACACATTTCAGTCACTTTCAACATTTTATGAGAGGTAATAAAAAAAGATTTTCCAAGCTACCACCTTCATCGCTGGATAGCAGCAGGGGAAGGGAACCAGGAGGCTAAACTGAAAAAGCGAGTGAGGTGGAGGTGGCCCGTGTCCTTTTTTTAAAATTTTTATTATAGAGGGGGTAGGAGAGGGCCTGAAAAGGTTATACATATGTATCAGACTCCTTAGGAGAGGTTAGAAAAGGAGACTCTACACTTCACTTCTGACGTTGCTTTGACATGTTTTCTTGGACTAAATAACACAGGTGGGTGACAAGAGCTAGTGAGAGGTGGAGCTGAGGTTCGAGCCTATTGCACCTCTTCAAATACACAGTAAACTTATTGGGCACGTGGAGTACAAGTTAAACAAAATACTACGGACTGCATAACCTACACAGTCGAGATTTGTTTTCTCAAGCTTCTCTGGAGGCTTAAAAGCCCAAGATCAAGGGTCTGAGCAGCGAAGCTTCTGGGAGGGCTCCTCCTGCCTTGGAGCAGGCCCACCTCCGTGGCTCGTGGCCTCTCCTCTGTTCTCCGTGAGAGAGCTTCCTCTTCGTAAGAACACAGTCCGGGTGGATCAGGATCCCCTGTGGCATCACCTGCTGCACTTACATCAAGGCCCCATCTGTAAACACACCCACTCTTGGGGTTGCAGCTTCCACGTGTGAATTTAGAGTGACTCTGTGTATAGAAATCTGCCAACCTCCTGTGCCAGAATCTGTGTCTGTGGTGGGTTTGGGGGTGTTACCCATTAGAGCTTTAAGGGAAGACAAAAACTGTGTGTGTTCGCCCTTGTAGCACTTAAGTCCTGTAATTTACTTTTAGTCTACATTATTTCCTAGAGCAAAAGATCTTAATTCTAGCAACCTACATAAATCAGCTCAGTATTTTGCTCACAAAATCCTACTGCTGAATTTAGACTCCTGTTTTATCAAGCCCCAGGGCAGTAAGTTGGCAGGCATGGGTGGCATGATTATCACCTGTTTCAGGAAATGGACTTAACACTGAAGGCGATTCACACCTATTAACCGCACAGCCTTTCTGATTTAATCATTGAACATCATCTTAAAAGCCAGATTGTTGTTTTCTGCCTGTCCCAGGATGAAATTGAAATCAGCAAACATTTTTTAAATTTTTTTATTTTGTATATTTTTTGCATCATTTTTCATTTCTATACAGTGTGTTAAGACACAAGTTAAAAGACATAATTCTGCTTGTACTTTAAATAAGGGGATACATTTATGAGCAGACAATTTAAGAAAAAGTGTAAATTTGCAGCTACTGAGGTTTTTTAGGTACTCAGGAAAAGGTGGCTTTTCTGTTAAGGAGGAAAAGAACCTTCTTGGAGGCTAACCTGCAAGAAACCTGGTAAGATTGTGCCATAGGCTGTAGGTATAAAGATGCTTAGCAGATAATTATTTAACAACAGTCTTTTCTCTGTTGCTTTCCTTATTCATTTCTAAATCATCCTTGGCTAATCTTAAGGCATTCTATCAGTTACAGTCAAGGAAGCCAGAGGGATGAGTGTAAGTTCCAAACAGCCAAATGGGAATGTTTACCTGGGAAGGCCAAGGGGAGTGCAGATGGCTGGGCAGGCGGAAGTTGTTCTGGTGCGTCAGGGCGAGGGAGCCTTGTCTGGGGAGAAACACTTGCCACTGTCCCTTTTAGGTGGCCACTCTGCACTGTAAACTCCTAAAGGCAGGGCCGCCTGATCCAAGTAGTGGCTGCAGCGCTCCCCACCCCCCAACAGTTTTAGGGACGAACTGTCCCCACCCCCAGGCAGACAAGGGTCTGAGTCACCCTCTCCCTCTCCAAATAAAGGGCCTGCTGTGCCTTCAGCGTGGTTGCCATAAGAGGAAAGTTTCCTGTGTCTGGCACACGGCTGACCCACGTCACCTCTCGCACACATGAGCCGCGCCGCTTCCAAAGGAAACAATAGCTCTACCCAGCGTCTTCCAGGTGAAAGTACCGCCTAGAACTGAGGTCTCCTGACTGGCTGCTCCTGAGCAGCTATTCATAGGAGAAAACGCAGTGATTTCCACGGGGGAATAGTTAAGGTAATGAGGTAAATAATTGCCTCCTCATTGGGGCTTTTACCTGTCAGACAGACTCGCAGCCACAACTCCCCTCTGCTGTTATGCCTGCCACGCGGAGGTTAGCCTGGCAACTGCCAAGCAGGGCTGGGCCCTGGCCGGGAGCTGTTCTGTGCTCATCCCCCTGCGGCAGAGTGTGTTGCTGGAGGAGAGACATTTCAGTGCACTGGTGCTCATTAACCTCTGCTGGAATGTGGGGCCTGTGAGTCATTTGTTATTCTATAATGGAAGCCTTTGGCTGTTTGCCATTTGAATTTTTTTTCCAAATCCTTTTTGTGGTATCAGTCTGTCTTTAAAGAATTCTTTTTTCCATTCCTCAGGCACATAGAACCAATTAAAGACTAAATCAAATGGGCAGGTACTGAAATTACCAACATAAAAGTATGTCTAGAACCTTCCAGTATGTTTTGTGGTAGGAAATCAGGAAGGGCCCTCCTCTGGCGCAGCAGGTTGAAACGCAGCACTATGAGGCTGGCTGCAGCCACTCCAGCATGAGCTCGATCACTGGCCAGGAAAGTGACCCACAGGGCGCAGCAGACCCCTGTCTCCTCGCTGCTCCCCTCAGCAGTGTACACAGTCAACGGCCTGTTTTGCTCCCCACTCTGTCTCTGGTGAATCCTCTTACTTCCCCTGCATCTCTGGCCTGTATACCATTCTGTATGCACAAATAAATAAAAATATATTTTTTAAAGATTTATTTATTTGTGCATACAGAACTGAGGTACAGTCCAGAAACTCAGGGGCAGCGAGAGGCTTCACCAGAGACAGAGTGGGGAGCAGAACAGGCAGATCGATGAAGTACACTGCTGAGGGGAGCAGCGGGCGGGTCAGGAGAGGTCTGCCACACCATGTGGTCACCTCCGGGGCAGGCGGGAATCGAACTCATGCAGAAGTGGCTTTAGCTTCTCAGTGCTGTGCTTTAACCCGCTGCGCCACCAGGGAGGGCCTAAATAAAAATCTTTTAAAAAGAAAACTAGCAGAATGCTCTTGCCTACTTTTTTTCTTAGGCACAATATTTTTTTTTTTTTTTTTTGAATCGACCTTCCCCGTGTTCCCCATTTTGTTTCCTTTATTTAAAAAGCAGTAGTATATTATAGGCCTGAACCTGCTTTCTACCCCTGTTCACCTAGAAGCCACTTAAATAATGGTGTCTTGTCATAATGATGACTCACAGACACCTGGGAGGTGGAGCCCCCGGGTGCCAATGGGCTTCTGTCGCTGAGGCTGCGGCTGACTTGCCTTAACTTCTAATCTACAAATTACCTTTAGCAAATATATGCACTTTTAGTATTTTATTGAATTTCTGATTTGCCACAAGAGTTGTCTCTTTCCCCTGGGTGGAACTGCCTACTGCCTCAGCAAAGCATGCCCTGACAGTTCCTGTTGTTCGGAATGTAGGTCAACGGCTGTCTGCTGGACCCGGTGCCTCCTGTCCTGGCGAGGAAAGGTTGCCAGTCCCTGCCCAGCAACATGATGGAGACCTCCATCGATGAAGGGCTGGAGACAGAAGGAGAGGCTGAGGAAGACCCCAGTCAAGCCTTTGATGCCTTCCAGGCCACACGCAGTGGGCAGCGCCGGCACACGCTGTCCGAAGTGACCAACCAGCTGGTTGTGCTCCCTGGCTCAGGTATGACATCGGAAAGCTCCAGGCTGAGTCTCCTGCCGTCAGCACACGCCCGTCTCCAAGACATGGTCAGGACACCGTGGCCACACTGGGCAGACACTAGGGTCAGCCACGTTCTGCAGCGGCAGCGGTTACAATGAAGCACTCTGATGCGCTCCCCCTAACTCCAGGAGTGTCCTGAGTGCTCTGTGATCCCCCAGGGCCTCCGGCACTCAGGAGTAGCAGAGATCCGTGGGTGCAGGTTCTGGAGCATTTTCCCCAGTAAAATTCAAAGCTGATTAAATTGACATGTGAAGAGGATCTGAAAGGATGTGTGGGTGGAGATGAAGGACACCGTAGCTGTGCAGACTCAACCTGGCCATGCTTTGTGTGGAAGGTGCAAAGATGTTATTTGCTGTTGACCTAATCTGTTTTGTTTCCTCTTAAAGGGAAAGTTTTCTCCATGAGTGACAACCCCTCACTTGACAGTGTGGACTCTGAGTATGATATGGGGTCTGTTCAGAGGGACCTGAACTTTCTGGAGGACAACCCTTCCCTCAAGGACATCATGCTAGCCAACCAGCCCTCACCCCGCATGGCGTCTCCCTTCGTAAACCTGAGACCTGCCAACCCAGCCATGCAGGCTCTGAGCGCCCAGAAGCGGGAGGCCCACAACAGGTCACCTGTGAGCTTCCGAGAAGGCCGCCGCGCGTCAGATACCTCCCTCACCCAAGGTGACTCCCTGCTCTCTCATCAGCTTTCAAGCCTCATGTACTGTGGATGTGAAAGGGTTGGTGGCCATGTTGGTTTCACACCTGTGGTCACTGAAAGGTCTTCTGCTTTATTTAAAAATCCGTGGGCGTTTGAACTCTCTTTCAGGCATTGTAGCATTTAGACAACATCTTCAGAATCTGGCGAGAACCAAAGGAATCCTAGAGCTGAACAAAGTGCAGCTGCTCTACGAACAAATAGGCCCAGAGGCCGACCCTAGCGTGGCGTCAGCTGCCTCGCAGCTCCAGGACCTCGCCAGCAGTTGCCCTCAGGTGGGTGCTCCGGGCCCTTCCCTTGGAGGCTTCACGAGAATGAGGTGTGACTGTGTCGGCAGATACCTCATGTCACAGAGAGGCCTTCCCTGCAGTCCTGGAACCAACAGGTTCTTTTGGAAAGTCATCCTGAGAGCTTTCCGAGTGGGCACCGCCTACTGCAGGCGGCTACCCTGTCCGTGATGGCCCCAGGCCACCAGCACCTCTCGGAGGCCTGCACATGCTCCTGGAGTGTTTGGGCCCCAGGGCAGATTTACCTCATAATCTCTCTTCGACCCCCTCTCCCAGTGCACATACATAAAAATGAAGAAGAAAGACCTCACTCAAAGGAGAAGCTTGTCACAACTACTTTTATGTGCTATCACTTCATTAAATGTTTTACATGGAATGTTTATGCTAAAAATACCCAAAAAAATATTGCTGGTTACCTGGTATATTTTATTCTGAGCCTGTTTTCAGTGCCATGAGGTACTGAGGCCTCCTGATGACAGGCGTCTTTGCTCCTGTACTAATTGTTTCCTACCGACAATGCGTGTATAAACTTTCTGATTAATGCTTGGCCTGCGAGTTATATAAAAGCTGTGAGTACTGTGTCTTCCAGAGTTGGGTTCCTCTTGGACTTTTGCCAGGGTGCTTAAACTAAGAATTGAAACTTTTTCCCACATAGAGAACTGAAAGTGTTGCACCCCTTGGTCCTCAGGAGGAAGTCTCTCAGCAGCAGAAGAGCGTGTCTGCTCTCCCCAACAGCGTGCACCCGCAGCTCTCCCAGCGGCAGAGCCTGGAAGCCCAGTACCTGCAGCACAGACTCCAGGTGGGATCCCCGCCCTGTTGCTCCGCTCACTTCACTGTCCAGCAGCCTCTCAGCGCTGTGGAAACCTGCTCCACTACTCTCTGCAGGGTAGAGCCCTCATAGGCAGGGAGGTTAGACTGCACTTGCAGCTTCCAGAGACATGTTCAAATGCGCATGTCTGATGCGCTGTGCTGGCAGTGGGCAGGGATTGTCCCCAGCCCTCAGGAAAGGATAACACCCGAATGGTAGGAAAAGGGGAACCTGCCACTTCTGACATTCTGCCTCTGAATGAATAACGTGTGGAAGGGAAGGCTCAAGCCTGCAGGATGTTAATATTAGCTCTCTGCATCGGTGTCTGAAAATCTTTAAAATGAGGCAACATAGATCCCATAAAGGGTGAGTCATTGGTTCATTCAGCAGGTACTGCAGCCTTTATTCTCCTGATCTGACCCATCTCGTCTCATTGTTTCGTCTCCATAAACCTTCCAACCCCATAGGACTTTCAGGAGTGGGAAACTCAAGTAGTTGTCAGAGCTGGAACGGCCTGGGCCTGCTGGCCCAGCCTGCCCCCTTCCCCCCCCACACACACCCCGGGCTCCCCTGAGTGCCCGTCAGCCTTCCTTTCCCCGTGGGTGCTGCAGGACACCCTTGACTTCATCCTCCAGGCCGAACTGGTGACGGCACCTTCAATGACAACACACGGTCACACTTGCGCTGTTTGTTCTTCCTTCCAGAAGCCCAGCCTCCTGTCAAAAGCCCAGAACACCTGTCAGCTTTACTGTAAAGAACCACCACGGAGCCTTGAACAGCAACTGCAGGAGCACAGGTGAGAGACAGTCTTTCGCCAAAGAAGTCATTTCCCTTTGGGGAGACTTCTCAGCATGCCAGTGTGTCCTTCCCTGGTGTTTGCCTTTCCGAGGAAAATAGGTTTGATGTGTGAGCCAGTCTTCAAGATGTCGTCGATTGGATATTCCTGTGTCCGTGGGCTGTGAGCCTGTCAGGGAAAAGCAGCCCTAAAATGTGCTGTTTTCCTTTCCTCCTGGCGTCCCTCGGGGTTACGAAGAGACCTAGCTTTCAGAATCTGGGACCTAATGCAGTTATTTAAGTGGGGTAAGCTGCAGAGGCTTCCACCCTCCCTGGCAGCTGCCCATGCCCCCGGCCGCACTGGCAGGAGCAGCTTGGCCAAGGTAGAATGACCCTACCCACCGTCCAACAGGCCCTCCAACCCTTGGAGTCCACTAGCTGGCAAATCAGCCTTTCGCCTCGTAGGGAGGAAACTGAGTTTTAAGAGAAAAATGAATCTGTGTTCACTGGAACACTCAGGGATCAGTCAGAATTGGGGAGCAAAACAAAGGGTTAGGTTTAAGAAACCAGACACGACGGGTTCCTACCCCGCTTTTTTCCTGCCGTGGGAAAAAGAGAAGCGGCAGGACCGAAGCCAGTGACTGATACGGGGCTGCCATCGCCGAGATTTAAAATTCTTTCTTTTGGTATTGCCAATTTAGACTCCAGCAGAAGCGACTCTTCCTCCAGAAACAGTCTCAACTGCAGGCATATTTTAATCAGATGCAGATAGCGGAGAGCCAACAGCTGCCCCCCCAGGAGACGCCCCCCACAGCACAGCAGCCGCCGCCCTTCGGTCTGCCCCCGACCCTGAGCCCCGTCCTGGAGCCCACCTCGGAGCAGATGCAGTTCAGCCCTTTCCTCCGCCAGTACCAGGAGATGCAGCTGCAGCCCCTGCCCACCTCGCCCGGCCCCCGGGCGCCCCCTCTGCCCCCTCACCTGCAGCCGCCGCCGCCCCCGCCACCGCCGCCCCCGCCGCCAAGGCAGCCGGCTGCCCCCACACCCCTGCAGTTCCCTTACCAGACTTGCGAGCTGCCGGGCGCTGCCTCTCCCGAGCCAGACTATTCCACTCCCTGTCAGTTTCCCATGGAGGGGGCCCAGCCGGGCGCAGGGGCGGCGCCCGACTGCCCCCGGAGCTCAGGACTGCAGGAGGCCCCCTCCAGCTACGACCCTCTCACCCTGTCCGAGTTCCCTGGACTCTTTGATTGTGAAATGCTGGACGCTGTGGACCCGCAGCACAGTGGCTATGTCCTGGTGAATTAACCTCAGCCCAGAAAGGGAGGCAGGTCAAGGGAAGGAAGAATGCATTTCTGTTTCTGTTCCACCCTTACACATTTGAAGCTTATTTTCCTCCTGCCCTCTCACTCATGGGGAAAAGTCAAGTCGCCCAACTGGAATCAGCGGGCCCCACCACAGTTTTCCATGGCAAGTGCTGGAACATAGTTGTAGGCTGAAGGTCACGCACTTAGGTCGGATGGTTCAAGCTCTGTGGGACGCACCGACAAATGTGTTTAGCAGAAGATACCCAGACCTGGGCCTTAAGAGAACTGCACCAGTTCATTCTGCGGGGAACCTTGTGAAAGAGGAAATACGTGCCATTCTGTGTGGGCAAAAAAAGGCAATACATCTTTCACTGAAACCAAGCAACAGTGTGTTACTTTAAGGCAAGCCAAGAATACATACTGAAATTTGAAGCACGGGATATAAAGGAAAGTTGTACTTAGTCACTGAACCTTAAGTTCTAAGCTGCTGGTGCGAGCTGTCCCCAAGACCACTGCAAAGCAGTGGCGTGTGAGCTGTGTTTCGGGGGTCCCTAGCGACAGCTGGGGCTGACCCCGAGAGTGGCAGCATACGACACACCTCTCTGGAAGGTGCCCTGGGCCACGGGGCCAGCGTGTGAGAGGCCGCCTGTGGGATCAGCTGGCAAGAAACCACCAGCCACGGTGGCAACTGGGGAGACACGGCCGAGGCACCAGCCCTGAGCCGGGGAGACAGGCTCTTCCTGCGGCCTTTGTGGAGACTTGTGGTTTGGGACAGTTGGTCTCTGGAGGACCGAGTGTCTCTTTTTAAATGTAATAACTACTTTGACTTTACACTATATGTTGCTAGTAGTTTCTTCAGCTTTGTATATTTGGACAGTTTCATATAGGGCTTAGAAATTTTAAGGGCAAGAAAAATGAACTTTTCTCTCCCATGTGAAGTGGTAGTGCTGTGCCTTCCCCCGATCATGCTTTAATTCTTTCTTCTCTGTAGACACCAAGTTGCCCATGTATGTCAATGCTAGATCCAAAGTCACTCCGGAGTTTGTTTTCCACCATGTGGGAGTCGCATTCTTAATTTCCTTGAAGTTTTGACTTGCAGTGAAATGTTCAAGTATTATAGCAATATGCAAAAAGCCACAGATGTGTTAACCATTTAAGCAGCTCATCTGCCCAACAGGTGATATTACGAGGGTAAGACAAAGCCCTTACAACTCATTCATCAAAGTAAGTAAAATATAGATGTTACAGCTAGTCAACTGTACACCTAGAAGTAACGTGTAATCTGTCATTCGAACAGGGATATCCAAGTGTTACAAATTCAGTATTATTCACAGGCGATCACTCTGTCCTATGAATGGCTTTTCAAACAGCAGATGAATGTGTTAAGCACAAAGCATCTTCCTTAAAGCACAAGAAGAGAGCTACTGCACTGATGCTGCATCTAGAAACACCTTCAGTTGCCTTTCCTCTCTGTAGTGAGTGTCCAGGCAGGCGAGGAAAAGCATGGCAGGCCTGCTGCGGCCCTGGCCACCCAGCCCCCAGCTGGTAGCCTGAGCAGCCCTTGCTGCTGGCTCCGGGTGGCCTTGGGCACTGGGTGTCAGCAAGGGTGGGGTAGGGGACTGCCAGCGTTTGTGATTTAACACACGCAGTGAGAATTCAGGATGAATGATGTTCCTTCGGTGGGTTGCTTGTTCCTCCTCATGCTTAAAATGAATGATTTCATGAAATAACATTATCAAGAGATCCTTTCATTAAGATCTCTAATCTGTTTTAAGTCTTTGCAAAATAAGCCCACGGAAAACAGGGCTGATTTGTTTAGGATGAAGGAGGATGTTTCCCGGATTAGAGAAGAGCTATAATACTCATGAAATTAAGATGCCTTCCAGGTTGAAAGTGCTGGCCACTCATTTCAGCGTGTCGAATGGCACCGTGACAGACAGACATACGTGCCTGCCCTCCTGAAAGATCATGCGCCCTTCGCCCAGAAAACTAGGAGCTACGGCCGGACAGTTAGGCAGGCCGGACAGTTAGGCATGGGGAGGCTGCTGAAGGACACAGGACCCCAAGCTGGGAAGTGGGAAGCTCCAGGTCCGCTGGGCTGATAGGCGCAGGGCCGGGCTGGGACAGCAGGACTGCTGGGCTGTGCCTGAGTCGTAAGCGCTGGTTTGCATTTCCTTTTTATTTTCAAGCAAGAGTCAAATTCCACAGCCATCGGTGTTAACTGAAGCGTCAGTAGCGAGGCCAGCTCAGGCCAGCTCTGTCTGTCAGTCAGGGGTTTCCTCCACCGCTGCCTCTCTGTCCCACCTAGAGAGTCTTCTCTTCCCCAATACTAACGAAACACTAAGGCCTAGCGCCCTGTTTGAGAGGCTACTTTGAAATTATGACTTTCTTTCCAGTCTGTTTCACATTAGCAGTGTGTACACTACTGTATAATAATCATTAGCTTTATTATCTTGTAAACCAGGCTCCTCTGAAGAGACTTTGGTGAGATGACCATGAGGTAAAAATTTCATTTGACAAAAAGTGCAATATGTGTGGTACTTTATTTTTTAATGTTCATTTTTAATCCGGGGTATTAGTCTCTGCTTTGGGAAAAATGCACTAGTTCTGCAGTTTCCAGTTGGGCAAGTGTGTCTTTAGTATTTACATGAAACTGATATGCTGGTCCCTGTAAGGCAAATAGAGCACATTATCACAGGTGACAGAGGGTGGTGGCACATTTAAAGTTCCTGGTGAGCAACACAAGCCATCCATAGCCACCGCCTCAGCCCGCCCTCCCCCCAGGCCCACACTGCCTGCTGGTTCCCTTGGGAGCAGAGAAGGGGACAGAAGTTTCTCTGCACAACCACCCTCCACTCTCCATTTAATGGGAAACATGTGGGGCCCCCTGAGCAGGCCCAGACAGGCGTATAGAATGCTGTTAGTTCTGAAATGAACAAAAGCCCTTCCTTTCTGTACTTTCTCTCCCAGGACACAAAAGCAGTGGCCCTTTCTTCCTCAGAAATTAAGAACTCCACGTGGGTTAGCGTTAGGTTAGATGAGACTGGCAGGAGACTGGTCAGGACCCACGTCCACCTGAGTGCCCCAGCAGAGGGATAGTGCTGCCACCTGCCAGCTAAAGGCCCCGAAGGGAAAGGATCTGTGGCACTAGCCTCTCCGGCTCTGCCCCAGCTCTCACCACTACCCAAAGAGGTGTGGGGGGTGGGGGTGCTCAGAGAACAAAAGCTGTTAGATATGGGAGACCGAGGCCTCTCCATGTGAGAGTTGACTGCTGGCACCAGCAGCTTCTCCGAGCAGGTCAGGGCTCGTGGGACCGGATCAGCCTCTGGTGAGGCCAGGCAGCCTGAGCATATGCACATGACGAGTGAGAGGCTTCCTTTTCAGGGTCTCCCCATGTCTAGTCAAGCCCAGGTTCTTAAATGTTAGGGTGTCAGCCTTCCCCGGCCCCCCCTTCTCGAATACATGGCCTACCCCTGCCATCACACCTAGGTTCCCCAGGGGCATAAGGGAAACCCCTCCACATAACCCCACACTCCTCCTTATCAACACTGGTCCCAGTGAACAATGGCAGTCCATGCCAGGGCTGACCTTGGCTGCATCCGAACCCCTAAACTGGGCTGCCTCTACTGCCTCCTTGGAAGCCACCCGAGCCGCTCGGTTTCTTTGTGCCTAGACATCAAAGGTAAAAACTGGAGAACAGGTAGTAAGTTGGAGTCACTGCACAGGCAGAGAGCTTTGATCACTTTGTTGATTCTGGAAATCTTTACAGAACTTATCTTCAGAGTGATGTGTGAAGAACGAGAGCAGAATCATCTGCCTATTTCTAAACTGGGTGAAAAAGCATTTTAAACCATGGCTGTTCCCCGACAGGTCAGTGTTGCAATCTTCCCTGACCAGCCGCCCTTGCACGTGGCTGGTGACCAGCTCTGCCTGACCCTGGCTGTGGCCCTGGAAGGTGTGGGACAGCAAGGCTGCCCTTCCCAGGCACTCTAGCCTGGGGTCTGTGATCTCCCAGGGCCCCTCATGTTGTTTTGCCATTTTTCTCCAACTAAGGCAGGCTGGCTGCTCCTGGAAGCTCTCTTGCCCTTGTTTGGCCACCATCTCCTGTCACAGCTTAGCTGAGGTGATTTCAACCCCTGGGCAGACCCACCAGGAGCTGATGTATAAACTGAGGACAGTCATTGCCCCCAGGCTCAGCCCCTCCATTTTGAGGGCTCCTGCCCAAACCTTAAGCTCTCCTGTCTGAAAGGAGCGACCACCTGTGTCTACATTCACTCACCAGGCACCACCTCAAGTAATCTAACCCTCACGGCAGTTCTCTTAAATTCCTGGGGCGGGACCTGTCTTCGCTTTTCATGGTGGGGGCAGGAGAGGTCCTGATTGGTCATCCAGAGGCACAGGCTGGGGAGTGGAAGAACCAGGACAAACACTTGGGTTTTCTCTCACTGTGTGCCCTTTCGCCTCTTTTCCTGAGCAAACAGCCACAGAACCAGCCCCCATCCAGAGAAGTGCTGGGTAAACGTGGCACTGGCCTGCAGCCTTATTCTCACTGGACAGCCACCTGGCTGGGGGATGGTGCCCTCCAGGTGACACCTGCAGCGCCCAGATGGCTCTGCAGGAAAGGGGCTGAGGGGGACATGGGCCCCACAGATGGGCCAGTGTCCTGTTAACTAGAGAAGCTGAGGTTCACATCAAAGACACTAGTGTCTGCAAGCTACACAATGTGCAGTTTCCTACATCAGTGTGTGACAGAGGATGCTCTACTCTGGATTGCCAAGGGGGCTAATGTCAGGGCTTGGGCCAACACAGCAGGCCACAGGCTCCACACCTGGGAAGGGGACTGCTTGGAGAAGTAAGTAAGAGCTCAGCCGGGAGCATCTTTGGGGGGGGAGGGGGGGTGCATTTCTTCACAGCTCAGGCCCAACAAGTCCAAGTGCTAGACACCTTTACAGTTAAAAAATATACTTCAGTTGAATACTTTGGTCTTTTCAGAAGCAAAAGCAGGCGGGTGGGTAAAAATAGAACTACAAACACATCCTGGAAAAATATGACCCCAGATTGGAAGAACAGGACATTAGCAAATACAGATAACGGCCTTGCTGCTGGCCCTGACGTGTTGCCTATTTGCAAATTCGCTCAATCAAGGAAATGCAAGTGGCGATACCTTCCCACTGTGGCTGGTAACAGAAGCCTGCCTCCACAAAGTCTCTCAAGGGAAGAGAAGCAGAGAAAAGCTTGCTTCTCTTTGGGGACTGCAATTTAAGAAATAAAATGATACAGAGATGTTTGCACTTTGAGAAAGGGCAAGATTATTTGCTTTTTTCTGAAGGGAGGAGGGTGATCTTTGCTGGATGTCTGGTCTGTGAAAGTTACTTTTGATAAAGTTAATCTAATTGTAGTTATTTTTTGTGTGCTTTTTTTAATTACTATGAAAAATTGATGAACTCAATAGCTTTGGTATTTTGAGTACAAATCATAATAGCTCCAATGTGGGAAAAAAATCAAAGTGTAACCTGTCACTCAATGTTAGAAAATTGCCTAAAATGTGGTTTAATAAATGATCTTTGTATCAAACAGTAATTTAAACGGGGTAATTTTTTCAAGGAAAATATACTGTTTTTATGTTTCCAACCCTCTTGAATTCAAATAAAAAACTTGTTTTCTAAGTGCCTGGCTGATATGAATGTCAGAAGAAGGAGATAGAGCCTTTCCCTCACTAGGCCTTGGGTGAAATGTGTGAAGAATGGAAGGTGGCTGTGTTCCCTGAGCCCTGCTGCTCACTTCAGGCTGCAGAAAGGACAGTAGATTATGTTCTCATTGACGTCAGCAGGGTAAATAATACCTTGCTCTGAAATCGCCTGAGCACACGTTAGCCTTACAGAACGCTGACGGAAGCAGTGCTAACCGCAGCCTCCTCTTCTGCTTCACAGAGCTGGTGGGGCCAGGTCTCCCAGCAGGAGCAGAAGGACAGGACAAGTGAGCTTAGGGCCGGGGTGGGACCAGGGGTAGGAACAGAGCCAGCGAGGCATTGTTCCTTCTTTTTACGGGGAAAAATCGATTTATGCATAGGAGAACTGGGGTGTAGGCCAGAGGTATTGGGGGTGAGAGGATTCATCAGAGACAGTGGGGAGCAGAACTGGCAGATGGACTGAAAACACTGCTGAGGGGAGCAGCCGAGACAGGAGAGGTCTGCTGCGCCATGTGGGTCAGCTCCCTGGCCCTGGTGGTGAGAACCCTGGGATTTTTAACCCCTTCCAACACCAGAGAGGCCCTGCTACTCACTCTTGGCACATCTCTGGGGCCTGCAAAAGGCTTTCGACACCAGCCCTGAGCGCCCCTCACCCCATGCGCACACACAGAATGCACAGCTCCCTGAACAAGCCCAGCTCAGTGCCTCCGGGTACTGGCAAGCTCATTTGCTGAGGCTTTGGGGCTGTTCTTAAATATTCAGGACTGTTTCGGCCGAAGCTGAGGCACGGGGCAGTATTAAATCCTATTTCCTGGCAACAGGTTTAGCTGAGATTTGGTTTCACTGATCCTGTCCCAGCTGAGCCCACATAAACTATCTCCCAGCCCCTTTCAGACAGTTGGTTCCACCCCCAAATGGCTGTTGCCCTTTTTGGCTACCCAAGAATTCAGTAACACTGAGTTCAATTGTTTTTGTTTTTTCTTTTTTCAAGAAAGCACTCCATTTCAGTAGTGATGTTTTGCAAACTTTCCCATTTCCCACCAAATTTCTCCATCAATTTTGAGTTGCCAAAAACAACCCCAAGACTCAGGCAGCAGAGACTGCCACGTTCTCCAGAACTTCCCTCGGTTCCGTGGCCTTTGAGGGCCAAAGGTTCAGAGCAGGCCCAAGAGACCTGAGTGAGCCCCAGCCCCCAGGTCTCTGCCAGGTGGGCAGAATCAGGGCCCCAAGGCTCTGTTCCCCATGACGGGGCTGCTCCTTGCTACCCAACTGGCCTTTACATTGAGGTTTCACTGACCCCCGACATGAGGAAAGCTTTGGTCCCTCCAAGCAGCAGACATGCACCCACAACTCAGGACACACCACTTCAGGGGAGGAGTCGGTCTCTGGGCCCTTGAGGCCCATGCACAGTTGGACCCCAACTTTGAGGACCTCCACTTCCGGCCTCATCTGTGTCCCTCTGGCTTTGTGGTGACAGCTCCTGCCAGGCCCCTCTCTGCTGAGCCTGCCCCATGGCTCCGATGGTAGGTACCAATGTGGGGTGCGCCACTCTACCTACAGCCACAGGACCTGGCGGGAAGCTCTGCACAGTGAGCACTAAACCCTGGCGGCCAGGGGCCGCTGTGGCCTGGGGGCTGGCAAGCTAGTGCTGTGCTCTCCACACTAGCCCCGGCCAGTGGCAGCTCAGAATGGTGGGCGCTGGGCGGCCTGGAGGGCCGAGCACGATGCTTGGCTCGCACTGTGTGCTGCACCCTGCGACAGGAGCGTGGGGCCCAGGAAGGCATGCACCCCTCCCTTCAGATGTGTGCCACTATCTGCCCCTGCCAGCTGTGGAGCGTGACCACAGCTCGTCAACCTGCGAGTCAGACCAGACAGGGTGGGGGCTGTGCCAGCAACCATTGTCTCGGGGAGGAAGTGCCCACAACCCGAGGCACAGAGCCCCGTGGAAGTCCCCAGGCTCTGCCACCTCCTCCCCACTCAGCCGACTCACAACTAGGCTGAAAGGCTGCAGGCCAGGCAAAACAGGTCCAGGCTGAGCCAGCGAGCCGGGAGCCCAAAGGGGGGGAAAGGACAGCACACCATGGGGAGCAGACTCCCCTGCAGCTGCTTGGGCAACAGCTAAGAAAAGCTAGGCCCAAAAGAAATGAGACACTGGGGATTTGGCCTCACAAGGGGAGAAGTGAGTCACTCTCCCCAGCAGGCAGCTTTGTTTCTGACCCCATCGCCCTCCCCACTCCCCTGGGAGGAGGTGGGAATGATGGGGTGCAGGAGCCAGCTGGCCAGGGTAGTGCTGCAAGGGTATAGGACCAGTCAAGGGTGGAGGACCGATCGGTGGCCTTTCCAGGAAGCACACATTTTGCAAAGGGCAAATTCACCTCAGCAGCTTCAGTCTGGGGCCCAGAGATCTGCCTTCTGGTGACCAGAAGCCCTAATGCTTAGCAGGGTCCCTTTGTCAGTCAAGTGAGGGCCAACGGGCAGGCAGGTAACTGAGGGCGCCCAGGGATGTAAGGCCAGGTTCCCCACCTCCCCGAGGAGCCACCCCAGCCAAAAGCGCCCCCTGGGCAGGGTGGTACTAGGCAGCCTCTGCCAGGCACAGCCTGGGAGTGGCAAAAAACCTGAGTTCTACACTCCTAGCTCCACTCCAGCCCTGCCACAAACCTGGCCACGTCAGTGTAAAAGCACATTATTCCCCAGCAGAACTTGGGTACGCACGCAATGCTGACACCCCCCAGGCTTGCAGCCTGGCAAGCGTCACAGCCAGGCGTGGCACTGCACCCTCACAGGGAAGCCCCCAGAAAAGCCACTCCCCTGAAGGCCTGTCAGTGTCACCACGACCTGTCTGGCTTTTGTTTACCTCAACTGTCCCAACCCTCGATTGGAAGGTGGGACCCAGTGCCTGTGAAATCATCTCCCAGGTCCCAGGGGACATCCTAGTCTGAGCACCTGTGCCAGGTGAAGAACCATGCTCTTGGTCCAGGAGTTTACGTTCAGAATAAAATCCAGCAGCAGGTATAAGGACATCTGTGAGAATCCACATCCCTCAAGGCCTTTTCCCTTCAGTTCCAGTCTTAGGTCAAAGGCCTGGGTAGGGAGAGGATCCTCTTCTGCAGAGACAGCAGCCCTGGCCCGAGCACTCCAGTAGGAAGGCGCAGAGAGGAGACGGGAGACTGAAGAGCCCACTGGCCCTGTCACCAGCCACGACCAGCCTCCCTGTGCCCCTCGGGATCCAGCTCCCCTAGCCAGAGGGCCACAGGAATGGGGTCACATGGCCCCAAGCTTTGATCTTTGCTGTCCTCCTAAGGTAGGTTGGATTCGGGACTTTTGTAGTCTTTCCTGGTTCAAGAGAACTGACCTCTGCCCCAGGTTGGCCCTGAGGGGCTCTTATCCTGCACACATCCACAGCCAGGCTCCCAGAGCTGCCCCGAGACGGGCAGAGCAGTGCCAGACCCAGCTAGCTGCTAGCTGCCCTTGGGAGGGAGACAGACCACGCAGTTTCCCTCCCTCCCACCACCTTCAAGGCTGCTGCAACACCCCCCAAACACACACACAGGAACCACCACATGGTGCAGCAGTGAGCCCGGGCTCAGTCCTGGGGAGAAACAGGTGCCAGACGGCAGAGGCTAGAGGCCAGGAGCTCCTAAATGTCTCCCCGGCTTTAAAGGAAGTAGGAAAACTGGAAAAAATCAGAAGTAGAAACAAGGGTCAAAGGAGCAAGGGCTGCAGAAGGCGGGCTCTCAGTGAGACCCAGGTGCAGAGCGGGCAGCTCAGAGCCTACAGGACATGGGGGGAGCAGAGGCTGAGTTGGGTGGCTGGGGCCTGCAGCCATCGTTTATGAGTGCTTCGCTTGAGTTTAGCCTCCAACCTAGACTCGGCAGAGACTGAATGTCCCTCACAGCTGCTCCTTCCTGCAATAACAAGACTGACATCACTGTTGTCAGGGAAATGGTGTTTTGATTAAAATCATGTGACAGCTACTTGGTGATTCAATAAACAATCTGTTAACCCTCGCCTGACCCAGGCCTGCCAGCTGCTGCTGTCAGAGAGCAACCTGCAGACCATCCAGGAGGGAGTCCTCTGGCTGGGAGAGGGGCCCCACTCAGGGGAACCTCCTGACAAGGGCTGGCAGCGTGTGAAAGCGCCCACACCCCAAGACAGGTCCTCACAGGGTACATGTGACCTCCAGAACAGACAGCTCTGCAGACACCAAGAACCCGGCTCCGAAGGAGCACACAGGGTCACTTCGCCAACAGGAAGTGGCTCTCCCTCCTTGAGACCGGTCTTTCTTGCACCCAGAGGCAGGCAGACCCTGGAGCTGCCCGGCTCCCACAGGGTCTGAAGCAGCCAGGAATCCAGGGTCTTTCTTAGGGCTCCCTGGAGCCTGGAGCGCATGGCAACCCCATTCTGAATTGGGTGAGCTTGCTCTGTGCCATGGACAGTGAGCGAGGGGTTAAAAACAATTTCTGGTTTGCCTTTGGAAGACTTCCTGGATCACTCAGTTGGCCGCTGGCCCCTGACAGGCAGGGCTCTGCCTGGCAACAGCCAATTCCCTTTCCATCTCACCCTCGGGTCATTTTCCTTGAAACAAATGCAGGGAAGGTTCCCTGAGTCACCGGGAGGGGATTTTTCTGGGTTAAGTGAACTGCAGCCTCTGGGGCCTAGCATCACCAGGCCTCTCCCCATTCCGAGAAAAGACCCCCAAGCAGACATAACAAGGTTGGGGGCACCTCCCATTCCCACGAAGGCTGGGGCCCCAGTGCTGCGTGGGGCGCAGGTGGCTACTGAGGCTTGAGGACGGCAGCTAACAGTTTCTGCAACTGGCGGTCACGAAGGCCAGCCAAGCTCAAGTCCACTGGGAGGGGCTCCCCTCACGGCCCACAATCATGTTGGGGGCAAACTTGGTATCATGGCCTACCAATCCTGAATTTGTAGGAAAACCTCTTTCCCAGGAAAGCCTATGGTTTAGGCCTACAATTACATAACTGTTCTGGATCTGGCCAAGATGTCCTCCCTGAAGCCAAGTTCCATGAGACATAAAGGTGCGAAGGGCTGGTGCCTCGGGCACTGCGAAGGGCCTGGGCTGCCTCTACGAGCACTGTCTCCTCCCCACTCCCAACTCCAGGTGGCCACCTAGGAATGGCCGAGGCCACCAGAACCAGAACCAGCTGACAGCTCAGCACCCAGGCATGGAGGATACTCTAGAATGAAAATGCAAAGTCTACAACAGGAAACAGTGCTCATGGTCTCAAGTTGACATAAAATGAAGTCATGGACACTTAGCAAACTTCCTGATTTTAGGTTCTTCACCAAACAAACCCACTGGAGTGGGCATGACTACAGTGAATCCTCCCAAATAAACCAAATACAGTCTGACATCAGCCGGCCTCGTGGGGCTGCTGTCTGAACCCATCTGGGCACTGGAAATCGCCCGGCTGCCCCAGGGCCGTGGCCAGCACCCATGTGCTGCAGACTTCTGCACTCCTGCTCAAGTGGCGTCACACGGGGCCCCTACAACACTCAGTGAAATGGACAGAAATGCTTTTTTCCTCGAGTGGAATAATGACCTGGGAGGCACTGTAGAGATCGCATTTGTGTATTCTGTGAGGTAAGTGGGCATGGCCCGACTATTCACCAAATCATCCGTATGTCCTCTGGGTGGATCTCCCTGTCTCTGACCTGGGGGAGGGGAAAGAACTCAAGCCACAGAACTCCGCAGAGCCCACCCAAGCCCTCAGAAGGCATTTCTAGAAGAAAGTATGTAAAACAGGGCAACAGGATTTAGAAACACACTGTCTGGGCCCTAACCAACCTTAGGCTCAGGCCCCTAACTCCGTCTCTTAGGGACAGAGCTCAAGGTCCACTCTACATCACCTGCTCCAACAGGCCAGGCTGGCAGCCCTCTGCCCACACTTTATCCTAGGAGAGGGGAGGTCTCAGCCTCGGCCTCAGTAGCACTTACCTTCCCAGTGTCCTCTCTGGGTCTCAGGAAGCGGTTCTTGTCAGCCCCAGGGGCACGGGGCTCGTCACTGTCCTTCACAGGAAAATCTAGCTTCCTCAGCCTTTGAGCCACCACTAGGGATAGACAGCAGCACTGTAACTGTCCCTGGAGGGCCACCCCACCTACCCACTCCCCGGGGCTTCTTGTTCCTAGCAGAATGCACTCCATGGTGCCCACGCCAGAATGGGGAAGTGCCCGAACATAAAGCATAGGACCCCTGTGTGCTCCAGAGACCCGCTCCACCCCACAGCCTGGCCAAGGGTGCCTCTCCCTCAAATACCAGAGGAAGCGCCACCCCACAGAACCTTAAGATGCCAGCTGGGCGCTTCCCCCATTCTTGGTCACTGATGGCCTGTAGCAGACAGGAAAGACCCAGATCCTTTCAGAACTGAAAACATTAATTTAAGAGGACAACTCTGGAGAAATAATTGACTTGGTTTTTCTGCTCAGGGTAATTAAACTCCCTTCATCCTCCAGATTTCCCTCTCAACATTATGTAATTTCCTGGGAAAAGCAGGCTCATGGAGGCAAACAAGGAAGAGTGAAACTAGGAGCACAACAGGAGAGATGTAAGGCAACAGAGAGAGCAAGGAACTGAACGGGAAGCAGAAACTGAGAGAAAAGAAGGAAACAATTACATAACATCAGACCTTATCACTTCATCTGTTAAGCCAAGAACAAGGTGACAGACATATCCAAGCAGTGAAGCAATAGGTGGCTTTGAGATAAAAGTGCCAGAGGAATTTAAGTAAAAGGCAAGAAGGTAGGACAAACACCCAACTTGTTTGGCAACCCCACCCTGCCATCCTTCGGGGCGTGGACCCAGTGTGCGCCTACAGGAAAGCACCAGACTTTTAACTCAGTGACAAGGCAGTGCCTAATTGACAGGACAGAAACAAGAAAATGCTGCCCTACATAACCAGTGAATTGGGAATCACACATGTCCCTGGAGGAGATGAATGCAGGTTCCCGGATGCCTGGCTAAAGGTCAGGTTGCTGTCCTGCCGGTCAGGACAAAGTGTCCAGCAAAGACCCCAGCCCTTGCGTCACAATGGCTATGCTGTGGTACTTCCAGGAGCTGAGAAGTCATTATGATTTCAACAAACCTCACTGGAAACCACACATTAACCTGTTTATGAAACAGGGTCCATGTTTAGGTGCATAGGCTTCTTGGCAGCATAAAGAAACAAGATCTGGCATCTTGAGGGGTAAAGCTCACCACACTGTAATAGTGAGGTGAATTCCACTGTGGAGGAGACATTTTTATTGGCATTAGGCTGAATAGTAGATTCCGGTAGATCCTTGCTATGCTTTCCTAGTCAATGGCAACAACTAGGGTTAACTGCCTAGGAGGAAAAACTACAATGTTCAAGGCAATCATATGAATCCAGATGCAACCGTGGCTTAAGACAGGGGAGTAGAAAAGGGCCACGTGAAGTTCATTTCTAAGATCTGCAAAACCCTTTCATTGTGTCGGTGGAGGATGAATCAGCTTGGAATCATTAATGACTCATTTCATGTACCCAACACATCAGAGGACAGAATTTAGAAATTCGTGAACACATTTTTATTGAGCACCTACTAAGCACACCAGTCACTGTTCAAAAAGCTGGTGATACAGCAGAAGACAAAACACACAATATTTAAAATACCCACCCTTACAGAGCTCCTGGAGCTTACAAGCTAGTGAAATAAAGGAAAACTAACCCATGGGGGAAATAACAGTTGTACACCAAAGAACAAGTCTTCTGGAAAATAACAAAAGGGACTCCCTTCATGTTTAAGTCAGGGGAAAAAAACCAAGTCGCCTCCAAAAGACAGCTACCTGCCCCAGGCCTGAGAACCCAAGGGCTCGCTGTCTGCCCTCTATCATAGTCAGGATGGAAAGGACATGCACAGGGCCCCCCCAGGAGGGTACGCTGGGATGCATCTACCCCAGAACCAACAGCCTTTCAGACCAAGGAGCCAAACAATGGCTGTGCAAGGATCAAGACAGTCTCAAGTATGAAACTCAATGAAGAGCAGTATGACCTGCAGGTCATACAAACTAAACATGAGCCAATATTAAAATGGGAGAGCACACAGTCAAGATATTAAAATAAGGAGCACATAGTCAAGACATTAAAATAAGGATTGGCTTGATGCTTAGCCAAAAAAAATGACATAATAGAAAAAAATTTTAAAGGTAAAATTTAACAGTTTTAATTGCAGGAAGATCATTTCTGATTTAAGATGTTCTGTTTCTCTAAGTTAAGACAAGCGTCACAACGTATTTGGTCCAGTTCGGTTTTTGTAGTGGTTCAATGACAAAGTTTGATAGGAATCTCTGGGCCTTCATAAGACAGAACAGGGGACTCACTGGGCTCAAGAGAGGTTGTAAGCCAAACAAACAATTCAAAAACCAAAATGCAAACTACACAGTAAGTTGCACTATGAGAAAATATAACCTACAATAAAACCTCATTAATTAACATTCATAAGGGGAAACAAGGAGAGTTTGAATTAGGTGGGAAATATAAGTACACTTAGAAGAAAAATGGGTGCTCCATGAAATACTTATGATTATATATTTCAGGATGAAGAGTAAATTGCATGTTTAAAAAGATCCTCTTGAAGCTATTTTAATGTAACTGAAAAGAGTGATTAATAGGAAGTGGCCCGTCAACTAGTGAATGTGCACTTTTTAAACAGCTTTCAATCGGCTTAGCTCAGACACAATAGGTTCTCTTGGACTACTACTGTGTTCAACAACCCCTTCAGCTTAACTCTAACTTAAATTCTAGGAGGAATTAATGAGGTTTTACTGTAAAAGCAGAAAACAAACATTTCAAATGATAAGATTCCAGCACCTGCTCATACCAAAATCTTAGTGACGAAGCTTGCTGGGAAAGCAAGATCCAGTGGAGCAAGGGCCAAAGCTCACACCTAGAAGCAGAACCAGGTAAAGAGCAGGAAATCCTCACATGATGCCAGCAGTTCCTGAACTTATGAGAAATGCAAAACTACAAGAGCAGCTTCTTAGGAAACACTCCTGCAAGTCTGCAGAGAGAGCGAGACAGGAATGCAGTCACAGGAGCGAGCTGCTGAAACAACATCACAAGTTAGCAGCAAATACACCTGCACACCTCAAGTTTCAGAATGACATGATTGCAGTCAAAATCAAGCAAATAACAACAAAAACAGCCAATACATGAACCCTGAGCACCCACAGTCCCCTTTCGTGTGAGATTCTGATGGATACCATCACTAGTCAGGAAAATGTGACTTTCGCTACAGGCAAATCTCACCATGTCTCCCAATGGATGTTTCTGAAATAAGTTACTCTAAAATCATGTACATTAAACTTTGGAATAATGCAGACGTGGGTGTGTACAAACATCAAGAGCATCACTCTGCTCCATCACTGGGTCTAAACCCACCGAGCCTTGGTGGAAAATATTAAGTGGCCAAGACCTGATCAATCATGAGGATGCAGGCGCCCAAATGGTCCGATAAATCATTAGAGACAATGAAGAAATGATTGTACCAAGTGTCAGGAATTGTTCATAACACACAAAGAGTTTAAATATAATAATCTCAATAAGGAAAATGAGTAAAACACAGTCCCGTTCATCTTTAGAGAGAATCAAGTCACAGATTTGATTTCTTGTAAGCTGCTGCCATTTGCTCGGATGAGGTCTTGAAGGTTTTCCATATTTTTTCTCCACCCAGTTTAAGAACACTTTACTAGAATCTGTGATAAGAATTTAGTAAAGTCTTTTCCCTGCTGTTCCTCATTATGCCAATGCAAGCACTGGAAAATTCCAAACAAAATCAAGTTAGTGGTACAGAAAGTTCATGAACTATCTATGTGAATATTCAGCATGACAACAATGATCCAAAAGTATGAGACTATAACCTTGTCGTGGTCAGTTTCTTCACTCTCCCCACCAAGTCAAAAGTCAAACTGTCAATACTGACCAAAAGCCATAGGACAACTATTCTTACCACTAAGAATCACATTCCCACAGAGCCCTAGTCATGAAACAGAAAACGGCCTGCTTGCTAATGAGAGAATAACAGGCCAAGAAGGTTCTACCCTAAGACTGGCACAAGCATCCCAGGGACTCACCATCCCCCCGCCTCCCCTCTGCTATCACCCAGCCCCCACACACTCTGTCCACCGAAGCAGACTGCAAGGCAAGAAACGGACACATACCACTTATAGCTTCTTGTGCGAAGTATTTGACATCCATATCTTCGTCCTGACCTAATTTCTGTAGTACCGGCTTAACTTCCTCCTGCAAAGCACTAAAAGCCAACAGGGTTGTCTTCAGGATCAGTGAGATACTACATGGTATGTATCCTCTATGGTAATTTTATGAAGTTTAAAATTAAGGACAATTTAAAACAACTATTATATAAATCTGACAAGTACTAAATAATTTCTAAAGTTCTCAGCAGAATTAGCTTCCACCATCTCAACATACACAGAGCTGAAACAAAAACCTCAAAGTGGACGCCCTTCAAAAAGGATGTAATTTTTTTAAACAACCCAAATCACAGGTAAACTGGAAAACTGCTAAACTTTATTTTAGCTATGACTCCCTTCTATCAAGCAAATATTTTAATCAACTTTAGAAACAAGGATAATACTAAAAATCTTACTCAGTGTCTAGAATTGGTCCAATTTTCTGTAGAGATTTGGCCACATTGAAACGGACATTTGCTACCTGGTCTCCCGCCATCTTCAATACAATGGGCAGCATTTGCTTGGTGGTTATTTCTTGACCACAGGCTTCAGACAGTGCCTAGGAGAGGAAATAAGGAAACACACTGAGGACTTTTATCTTTTAAAACATTCCCCTCTCACCTACCGCATCTCTGGCCTGTACTCCAGTTCTGTATGAGGAAATAAATAAATCTTTTTAAAAAATAAAATAAAACATTCCAAAAGCTAAAGCTAACACAACAAATTTTTATAAATATTGCCCAGCAGAACACTGTTTCTAATACAAGCACATGAATAAGGGATGTGAAGTAACAAAGAATCACAGAATTAGTCCAGAATTCACAACTGACTAATTAGTATAGATTTTAATATGAATTGAAACCACATATTCTCTCAACTACTAACTGTCCAAATTAACCAGTGAGATATCGATTTCAAATAGAAGATACTTCAGAACTTAGAAATACAACCTGCATAACTGTCTTAACACCTGAACTTGGTAACAGCTATCAGATACTTACATTAATGCAGAATAAAGTGGTCATTCTATGCAAGTAATTAGGGTCATCTGCCATCACTAACACCTTGGGGACGATAGCATTCTGAGCCCACTCTGTGCCAAATTTCTGAACTAGTTTCATGAGGTTGTTGGTGGCAGCTTCACGAATGGCATACACTAGAAAAGAGAAGGCAGCAGAATAAATGCCCTGCTGTTTGCATTACAAATATAACCTGTTTCTTACAGCATCAAAGACCAAAACTTCTCTACAAACACACTCCAAATTTCACCACACCACAAAGGGAAACGTGCCCAGCTACGACTCATAATATATTGACATGGTCATATTACAGTTTCAAAATGTGTAATGTACCCGAGGAATAAAGAAGGTAAGGAGCTCATCAGAGATATCAATGGTTAGTAAATGTGAGTGCCTATTATGTGCTAAGTGTTACAAAAGGAATATATAAGACATTTTCCTTCAAAGATGAGACACCATCAGAGAAATGAAAAATAGCACACTCCAAAATGTCTAAGGCTGACTATAATTAAGTATGTAATTTACAAGACTGTGAGAGCTGTAGGAGATTACAGCAGAGGAAATAGGAAAGCCTGGGGAGGCTTCAAGGGAAAAAGGTCTTGCACAGGACCCCCAGGTTAAGGAGGATTTGTGGAAACAAAAGAGAAGAGGGGAAATTTTCTGGAAGGGCAAAAAATGTACCCAGAAGACTGTGACACTCTAGGCTGGACAGTTAGGGTAGATCCAGATCACAGAGCATCTTGCAGGCTAAATTCAGGCCTGATAAGAAAAATAACGGTGGGGTTTTAAAGCAAAGCTGAGACCTGCTGGATCAAGACTATTCCAGCAATGGCAGAACAGCTGGGGGCAAAGGCAGCAAGATCACAAAAAGGTCAATGACGCCATCTACACAACAAACTGCTGGCCAAGATAAAAACTTCAGGCCAGCTCACCTCTTTTCCATTAAAAGCTTTTATGTTAAGACAATATGTCAATTCACTTCTGTGAATAAATGAGCCTACTTTAAAATCTAGTATTTCCCTATAAGATCATTCACATCAAAGACAGATCTAGATGAATAAAGCCTGAGCTACTATCTTCTCGACAATTAGTTACTATAGGGCCTCTCTGGTGGTACAGGGGTTAAAGGCTCAGCACTATCAAGCTGTAACCAGCCACTGCTGCATGAGTTCGATCCCCACCCCGGAGCTGACCCACATGGCACAGCAGACCTCTGTTTCAGTCAGTCTGTCTGTTCTGCCCCCCATTCTGTCTCTGGTGAATCCTCTCACCCCCTGCACCTCTGGCCTCTATCCCACATAAATTAAATTCAAAAAAAAAAAAAATCTTCAAAAATAAAACGAAAACAATTAGTTATTAAACACCACATGCCTGGTGCTACTTTATTTCATAAGACTCAAAATTTCAGTTTTGATAACAAATTTAGGGTGATGTTAATGAATTCTTATTCTTCTCATCATGCAGGTCTGTTTCACAGTCAAAAAAATCTTATTATCTATCACCAATAAAACCTAACTGAAGTTTTTAGGTGAACACCCTCTAAGAAACAAGTTTAAGTTAGCTGTTTTACCCATAATGCACATCTCTCTCTTCATCCCATCCACAGGAAACCTCCCCCAAGCTCCTCTCCCGATGGAGATAACGACAGCATGTGTGTCTTCTCTAGTTCTCTTTGTTAATTTGCTTGAGACATTTCCTCTCCCAAGGCCATTACCATAAAGAAGGGACCTCTCAGAGCAACTAGAGACAAACAAGCACAGCTCAGCCTTGACCAGACCTCAACTGCACTAGGCTCCACGTGGCCAGATGCCTACTGTGTTCTTGGCTCCCCTCAGTTTTGTTGTCAAAAGAATGCAAACCATTCCACAGTTTTGCCTGTTTTCTCTCCTTGTTTTGTCTCTCACTCCCCATCTTTCCCTCTTTCCCTTACCCCTCAAGGTCTGGCTGACTTGCAAGGTCTCTCTGAATGTCTAACATACTCTCTATTAATTCATTTGCTTTGATACTTGCTTGTTTTGCTAACAAAAAATAAATCCCTTTCTACATTTCTCCTCCTCATCAATGCTGCCTACTCAACAACAGGATTAGAGGTGAATGGTACTTTTTTCCCTATGTTCCTTTGGATTTTCCACAATATTCTTTCAGTAGTTTAATAGCCAGGGAGATATTTCAAAAATTTAACTGACCAGTGGCCACTAAATAGCAGTTATTGAAAAAACCAATACAAAATAAGAAAACCGGTGAGTTAGTACAGGACAACTTCAGAGCTGACATTTCATTGGTTCAAATAATAACAACAGTACCCATTTTAGTATGCTGTTGCCAAAAGAGAGACAGACACACAAACAGCTTTTTTCCAGTTTGGAAGAAAGAAATCAGAGAAAAGAGGAAGTAATAATTAATTTGTGGGATAAAAGGGTGCTAGGAATGTAATTCTCCATGGAACAACACGACAGAAAAGTTCTCAAATAAATTATCTTAATCTAGAAAATCAGTTTTCAAAAGAAGTATAGAAAGACCCGTTGGAATGGTATGGGTCATTCCAGCTAAGCACTAAATATACCCACCAGAGGGCCCTCCTGGTGGTGCAACAGGTGAAAGCACAGCACTAAGAAGCTGTCACCAGTCCCTGCAGCCAGAGATTGAGCTCCCACCAGAGAGGTGACCCACATGGGGCAGCAGACCCCTCCTGTCTCCCCGCTGCTCCCCTCAGCAGTCCATCTGCCTGTTCTGTTCTCCAATCTGTCTCTGAATCCTCAAACCCACTGCACCTCTGTATGCATAAATATAAAATGTATCCCAACTCTTGTATGCATAAGAAAAACTCTTTAAAATAAATAAATAAATAAATATCCAGCAGAATATATTTACTTTTCTAACAGAAGAATCCTTTCCTGTGATGTGTCGACTTGGTCTGAGGATAATGTAATAGAGTGAGAAATAGGCCAAAGAGATTATTTAATGGAAAAATTAAAAATTTAAAACAGGAAAATCTGGCAAAAAGTAGGAAAGTCAAATTGTGTTTGCATGAAGTTAAGTGGTCATTTAATTAAAGCCTTTCTTCACCTCCACACTGGTATGGCAAAATAACTACTAAGATTAGGATCCTTCTAAAAAGTAAATATATGAACAAAACAGGGTATATGCAAAAACATGGTCCTTCCATAGTAGTCACTGTAATGATCTACTCACCATGGTCCACAAGCCAGGCCATACATAAAGAATTCAGCTTTTCATCAAAGAATTCCACACCCTATGGATACAGAAGAAACCATTAAAATGCCTCTCCAAGTACAGAAATCAAGATGGCCTATTAAAATTATAACAAAGTGCTCTATGAATTAAAAAAAAAAAACTTGTATTCAAATAAGCTGAATTCATGAGAAAGAAGAACAAGAATGCCAAAGAATTTGATTTACAGACTATAAATCCATTTCATTGGATAAAAATCCTAAAGAAAAACCTAAGTGACACAATACAGGCCCTGCGAAGTGGCCAGGAGCCAGATACAACACTGCAGATGAGCACGGAAAGTCGTCCAAGACATCTCTAGATTATCTGTAAAAATGAATTACCTAGGAAAAGATCTTTTAATAATACTAATGATCCTTAATACTTTTCCCCTTTTTTATTACAATCAAAATAAATCCTTTAAGATGAAGAAATGGACTTTCCTGGAATGAGGGAAAGCAGAGGCAGAAGGAAGCAGGCACCAGACTCGGGTGAAGTGGCCTCATCACAGGCACAGGTGACACCGCCCTGGCTCTCTTGGCTCTGCTCCTTCTTTCACCAGGAGCCACGTCAGCACAGGCTGGTGACAAGCTCCTGGAGCCAATGGCACTTGGGACCAATGGAAGGGCGCTGTGCTACATGCTTTCCTAGTGCCCCCTTTTTGAGGTCTACATTCTTTTGCTTTTTTACATCCTAAGAAGTTCATTACATATTTTAAACAAAGAAATGTAATGTAAGTTTCAGTGCTTTGAAAACAGTGATTTAATAAGATAAAAGGACTTTAACAAGAAGTCAAAGGTATATAATAAAATGCTGATGGCTCATGCATGTCCCTTGCCAGTCAGGTATGAGCTAGTCAAAGTCATCTTTTGCAAACCTTCATATCTAGAAAGAACAGAAGCTAAAAGACATGACAGTAAAGTGCATTCTGGTGGTGCAGAGATTAAAGTCTCAGCAAGCTATATCACCAGCCACTACAGCGTAAGTTGGATCCCTGGCCAGGGAGGTGACCCACATGGCACAGGAGACCTCTCCTGTCTCGCCTGCTGCTTCCTACTCTGTCTCTGATGAATTCTCTCACCGCCCCCCACCCCGGCCCCATGCCCATGCCTCTGCATATACCCCAGCTCTTGTATGCATAAATAAGTAAAAATACGTCTTAAAACAAAAAAGACATGACACTAAAATTCACTCTCTCCCCTGAGTACTTGTTTCAGTCATCAGCAAGTTAGTTAACTCTGAAGACAAGATCCATGACAATCACCAGTGAAGAGATGACCCTCAGCATTTGGGAAAGACAAAGGAAAGTGTGACAGACATCACCGCTCTTGTTAGCTATGTACTGGTATCTCTGGCATTCATTTTGAAAATGGAGCACTTCAAATTATATAAAACCTCTAATGCCACAGACTTGCACAACATGCATTCACAAATGAAATATGCCAGATTCACAATACAAAGTCAGTGGTTCAAGAAAAGAAAAAATATATCCCCCACGCTACGATCTAAAAGAGATGAAGTAGGGTTGGAGAGGGGGACACTGCAATGTTAGCTGTAAACTGACACACTAGTGTGAGCTTTCTCAAACACTATTCAAACACTCATTTATTCAACTGACAAATGTCAGTGCCTGATGAGTATCAGACACTATGGTGAGCCATGGAACTAAAACAATGGACACAGATCCTGCCCGACAAGGGATCACTTGTCTGTTTCCCCAATTAGATTCTGACCATCTCACAGCTACAATCCATTGTTTTAAGTGCTACCAACAGGGTACATTCATACCAAATGTAGATCTGTCCTGGGCCCCTCTAAAAAAAGAGGCCTATGAAGCCCAGCAATGGCGTTTTAGTTAGCATGACACTACCTACAGTCAAATTATTCTGGAAACTCTCAATAATAACGATAATAATGGCACAATAATGGTAATGTGCTAATAGGGACTTTAGTCAAAATGCCAGTATACACAACTTCAATAGTCCTCTTGTATATGGTGATTAGACTTCCTTTAACCTGAATTTAGGGAAAGTGGTAACCAGGGATATTTTGCTCAGAATGTAGGCAAACAAGGAAACCGCCCTGAGCCAAAATAGAAACCAACTTATCTGGAAATCATATTCCCTTTTCCTTTCAGGTAAACATTCCTGAAGCCACAGAGATATAAACATCACAAAATCAATGTTACAAGTACCAAGAAAGTAATTATGTATTTTTAAGGTTTTGCTTTTAGGTGGCATTGGTGAGGTAAAATGTGGATAACTCCTTTTTAACAGAAGCTCACACACTAGTGAAACTAAGTCTCCTACTCATGGCCCGTCCTCTCCACTGACACGATCCTTCGGTCACAGAGCACTGGTACTCACCAGCTGGCCCGCCAGCAGTGGCATATACTCGATGATAGCCAGCCGGACCCTCCACTTGGCATCCTCAGCCAGCTCCACAATGGCAGGAAGGAGAGACTGAGAGAGCTGGCGAATTCCGATCACTTCATTTACACAATCCAAATTGGAGATGATATTCAAACGAACTTCAGGACACTGCAAGCACACAGCCCCAAAAGGACACATGTAAGAATCAAGCTCTCTACCCAATGCTGTCTCACTGTCATGATGAAGTAAAAACTGCCAAATACACTTTAAAATAACAAAGTATTAACTATGGTGAAGAAAAGTGCAGTACTGACTGAAATACTTTATGAGAACCAGTAATTCAAAACACATAAATGTGACAGATTTCACCAGAATTTTCAATGACAGAGTGGTAAAGTGCAAGCTCTGGAATCAAACTACACGCATTCAAACCCTAGGCGTGCCAGAGATGGGGCTGTGAGATATTTTATCTCTTGTGCCTCACCTTCCTCATTTGTAAAATGGGGATAAAAATAACATTTATCTCCTAAGATTACGGTGGTAATTACATGTTCTAACACATATGACTATGCCTGGCTCAACGTATTTACAAATGTTGGCTAACACTATAATTTTGATGCTATTATAAATTTAAATAAAAGAAATTTTGAAACAAGCGTTAAGACGCTCCCTGTCCAAGCACAGACCCACATGGCGCTGACCCACATGGAGTGGCAGACTGTTCCTATCTCACGCTCAGCAGTGTATTTCAGTCAACCCACCTGTTCTGCTCCCTACTCTGTCTCTGGTGAATCTTCTCCAACCCCCAGACCCCTGGCCTATACCCCAGCTCTTGTATGCATAAACAAATCTTTTTAAAAAATTACTTTTTTAACCTCTTCATCCCTGCTTTAGATTTTATTTTAGTGAAACTCAAAACCAAAGCCAAAATAAACCTGTGACTATTAAAAGCAATAGAGTTTGGACCAGACTCACCTCATCCTTTAACTGAGCTAAAAAAAGAGGTAGAAGATGTTCAATGGTATTTTCTTTGCCCAGAATGGTAGACAATCCCATAATTACAGAAGCTAGAGCCGATTTGACATGTTGATTTGTGTCAGATACTAATTCCTAAAATAAAATCAAAATTAAAAGGCTTTATTTTAAATCAAAAGAAACTTCCATACCATCTCCCAAAGAATTCAAAAGACAGAAGTGTTTCAATACTGGTTAGCTGACAACCAATCCTCAGGCCATCTGTAAGAACCTATACACTGGCTCTCCCAGGTGGCGCAGCGGGTTAAAGCACAGCACAAAGAAGCTTAAGCCACTTCCGCATGAGTTTGATCCCCGCCTGCCCTGGAGGTGACCACATGGCGTGGCAGACCTCCCCTGACCCGCCTGCTGCTCCCCTCAGCAGTGTACTAAGTCAGTCAGCCTGTTCTGATCCCCACTGTCTCTGGTGAATCCTCTCACCCTCCACATCTCTGGCCTGTACCCCAGTTCTGTACAAATAAATAAATCTTTAAAAAAAAAAAAAGAACCTATACACCAAAGAACAATTTACTATCATACTATCATAAAGCACTAGCAAGTGATATATATCAATGTCACACATTCACCTACCTCTACACTAAGATAGTTTGGGCCTCCTTGTAGGTCTAAGTCTCAGTGCTATCACCGCTGTGGCCTGAGTTCTATCCCCGGTCAGGGACCTGACCCACACGACATGGCAGACCTCTCTTGTTTCGCACACTGCTCCCCTCCACAGTATATTTCAGTAAGTCCACCTATTCTGCTCCCTATTCTACCTCTGGAGAATCCCCTCAACTTCCCCCATTTCTGGCCTATACCTCTACTTCTACAAAATAAAAAAAATATTTTTAATAAATGAATAAGTAAAGACAGTTTTCAAGGTAAAGCACTCAACTACCTTTAAACTAAGAAAGCTTTAAGATAACAAAATTAAGGTCAGACTTATCTTGATATAGAACAAGGTGAAACAAAAAAATAGTTAGATTTACCTTTATATAAGGCAGAATTTGATTCATAATTATGGTCTCTCTACCTTCAGTAGGCAAATTCTCACAAAGTTCTAAAAGAAATACAAAGAAAAAAATGACATCACATAAGGCCTTTTAGAGTCAGTCAGGTAGACCAACAGCTGCAAGTGAAATCATCAGCTTAAGCAAATGAGCTCCCCCAGGCAGGGCAAGGGGTGAGGGGGATGGCTCTTATTCGTAACACACATTTTAGTCCACCTACATGCCGTGTATATCACATCAATCTAAACTAAAATGGCACATTTTAAAACAGAAACAGGATAAATAGCAATTTGGTTTTAAAAATAGAGGAGGCAATTTTGTACAACAATGTGACATTTCTACCATTGAAATCATGTTTTTTTGGTTTTTTTTAAACATATTCCAGAACAATGAACACGCAAAATTGACACCAAAAATGCATCCAGATGCAGGCACAGCTACAGTGTAAACGACTGCTTTACCTTTGACTTTGTGGGCAGCAGCTGCTCGTACTTCAGCTTCACAGTCTTTAAGCAGGTTCTGAAAGGCGGGGATGAGGTCACTTTGGGTGATTTTAGGACCCACAGCTTTCTGGAGCTGTAAAAGAATTTGTGCAAGTTTTAATACACACTAACAAAATAATTACCATGAACAGAACAAAACAATGTAATCTTCAAGTATGTCTTTTTTTTTTAATATTTCAAAGAAGGGGCAGTAAGGATTTATATCATAAATTTACAAACATATCTAGTATGTTGAGTTCAAGAGTTTGACTTTTTAGAGACTGCACTTTTTTTTTTTTTTTTTTTTGAGACTGCACTTTTTAAAATGATCCTCTTCATAACTGCTTCATGGATGAACTAAAAGGTCCTGTTTCGTAAGCAGCTGGTGTCTTACTATAAAGAAAGGTGCAGCAAATCCAGAACACAGCTCTAAAACAATCACCAAAATTAGTAACCGCCATTCGTTTTCTACTGAAAATGGCAAATTCTCCCCTCCTTGTAGTCGCTCCTAGGACCACAGAGGTAGTGAAGCTCCAGATACTGAGTCCCGACAAGGCACCAGAAGACAGACGGACAATGGAAGAAATGGCAACACCACAGGTAGACCTCCTTTTCACAACCTGCTCCCTCCTCTGTGTGCCAAGTATTTTATCACTAACACTTCAGAATTCATTCAGAAACGTTTGGTACGATAGCAAACTGGTGACTTACTTTACTTTTCTGGTTATTCTAATTTAACATTTAAAAATTATCAGCACAAAAACTTTACCTCTGAAAATTTGTCAGCTACCATATAGCGAACTCGCCAGGATTTATCTTCGGCAGCTTGTCGAAGTGTAGGCATCACCAAGGCCTCCAGGTCTTCCTGAGACAGTAACTGGGCAATACTGACACAAGCTTCCACAGCTAGGAGGCGCACTGAATCCTAAAGGGACAAAATTTCTGTCTGTCAAACACTATCTGCTAAGAGCCACAGGCACTAGGTAGTACTCTACGTGACAAAGACAAAAACAAAGACAGATCCCCTAGCTCAAGAGTGTTTGGCCTAGAGAGACTTACAGGGCCAAAGGTTAGAATGTATGAAAAGCAAACAGAAACCCTGCTTCTAAGACCTTTATTACAGGTACTGAATTGTTTCCATGAGGAAAAAAGGAGTAAGTGAAATATCTAGCATCCCAATTCTCAGAAGATCTGTGAATCATGTGCAGTCACTTGGGTGAGTGGGTGAAGATCTGGTGATGAGACAAATAGAAGGAAAAGACGCAGTCACAGGTCTTCTCTGACAACAAAGAGGAAAGTGAACCACACCAAATGGGCGCTGTCAAAAGACGGCTTGGCACAGAGTATAGGGCTCAGAACAGGCCTCAATGTGAAAAAAGAACCCCCTATTTTTATGGAAGGGAAAGTAGCCTATGATGAACACACAGATTAGAAATAACATCAGGTGACAAGCAACCATCACAGCTGCTAACACCACATTTCTAGGTGACCAGACCATGGAGAAGGAATTAAGTGGGTGATTCTGTTTCCTAGAGTCTGTGTCCAAATTATGTAAATGTACAGTCTTCATAGTTTCTAAGAACAAGGTTAAAATGTTCTTTAATATATTAAAATAAAACCCACACACACTATGTACAGTTTTGTGTTTGTCTTGAAATAGCTGTTCCCTTTGCTTAGAATGGCATCTCAAAGCAATAAAGATAGAAACCAAAGAACAGCAGTTAGTACAGTCTTTATTAATGAAAATGTTAAGATTAAATGAAAACAAGAACTTTTTAAAGATATCTTCAAAGCCTCACTATAATAGGAAATTGAAAGATTAAATGAAAACTATACTTGTAACAAGTTTTTAAAATAGATTAGAGAAAGAGAATAAAGGGGAAGGGAATCATTTAGGAAGCTCCCCATTTTTAAAATACACAGTTTGGGAGTACAGTAGCAGGAGTTCAAGCATGAGATGATGACTTGGAAATAAATAGAAAAAAGTTTAAAGCTGGTAATTAAGAAAAACACTGAATCTAAATATTGATAATCAAAGACAGAATAACTCTGAGGTAGTCAAGCCTAGGAAAAAACAGCAGAAAAACTTAGAAAGGTGTAGAATGAACTCAGCTTTCCAAACAAACTGCCAAGTATCAATATGACAACTTTATGCCCTTTGAACAAGTGGAAATAAAGAATTAGATAATCAGTCAGCAATCTGGAATAGAGATACAAATTTGGGAATCATCAATTCATACGTAAAAGCAGAATTATGTAAAAATATGAGCACTCAGGAAAAACAGGACAAAAGCAATAGCATGTAAGTATATATGTACACACACAATTACATACTTCACACAAAAGCATACATATGTATATGTGTATATATACACATATGCACAGGCATACACATGAAAGGTAACAGTGACTCTAATTTTCAAAATGCTACAAATTTAAAAAACTGTAGACCAACAATGACGTATTACATGCCAAAGAGAACCCCATACCCAAATAAACAGACTAACGGCAGACTAACGGGAAAAAAGAAGTAGGTTCTTGGTAGTATGTATACAGATTTTTTGGGGGTTCAGAAAATAATGCTAAATCATGGAACGATTACCATCTACGAAAATTGTATACCGATAAATATTTATTAAATTAATCAATTACTTATTTTCTAGAACTCCTGATTTTCTCCCTAAAACCTGGCTCCTCCTCCCAGAATCTTTTCCATCTCAGCAATGACACCATAATCCACCCAACATCTCTCGGAGTCCTCTTTATGTCCACCATATCTTAAGGTTCTAACTTAGGGCCTACATACATAAGGCTCATTTCTTTCTAGAATTCTCTTTTCCTAGAGCTTAAAAACTCTAGGAAAAGGGGAGGCTGGCATTTTTCTTTAATGTCTCAGATTTTGTCACCCCCTCACAGTCCTTCTCTAGCTAGTCAGTCTACAGAAATGCCCACTAATCATTCCCTATTATGTTATCCCCCTTTATTTTCATCATCAATATTTCCCTAGAATATTTTCTCTATTAATGTTTTTATTATCTATTCCCTTTCATTAAATCTAAGTTCTCCTGACAGCAGGGTCCCTGCATGACTTGCTTAACACTGTATCCCAGTATAAAAACTGTGTCCCAATATGTCATAGATACTCAAAATTTTTTTTTTCAATGAATAGATAGGTCAAACTAGCATGCTGTTAGTGGCTTGAGGAAATATATGGTCACATATTTCACAATTAAGCACTTAATATTTTTTGAGCAACAGTTGCTACTATTCCCACAACTAGACATGTCTATTGATAAAAAGCACACTTTCAAGTATTTAAATAATCTTATCGCCCCAAAAATATCAAATTTAAATCTCAGTAAGCCCTTCTGTTAGGGCAAATATCAGCTAAATTCAGGAGGCAGCTAATTTATGTAAATAAAGTTTTGTTAGTACACCACGAAGTCTATTAGTTGGTATGTGGCACTTCTATGCTATGCCAGCAGCACTCAGTAGTACAACAGAAGCTGTCTGGCCTACAAAGTCTAAAATGCTGGCGCCTCCCTGGTCACACAAGGACTTTAGTCTCAGAAGTATGAAGCTATCTGTAGCCACTGCAGCACAAGTTCGATCCCCAAACAGGGAATTACCCACATGGCGCAGCAGACCTCTCCAGTCTTACACGCTGTTCCCCTCAGCAGTGTATTTCAGTCAATCTGCCTATTCTGCCCCCACTCTGTGGTGAATCCTCTCTGGCCTACAGCCCAGCTCTTATATGTGTAAATAAGTAAAATAAATCTTTAAAATAATTGATTAGTTTAAAAAAAAAAACAAAATACTCACTATTTGGCTATTTATAGAAAGCTTGGAAGATACAATTATCAATATTCAGAAAATACAAAGGACAAAGAGAAATGTTAAAATTATATCATGGGAGGCCCTCCCTGCGGGTTAAAGCGCAGCACTAAGAAGCTACAGCCACTTCAACATGAGTTCCATCCCCGGCCCTGGAGGTGACCCGCATGGCGCAGCAGACCTCTCTTGACCCACCCACTGCTCCCCTCAGCAGTGTACTTCGTCAATCAACCTGTTCTCCCTACTCTGTCTCTGGTGAATCCTCTCAACCCCCTGAACCTCTGGCTGGTACCCCAGTTCTGTATGCATAAATAAATAAATTTTAAAAAATTAAAAAAATATATATCATGGGAAAGATACTCAACAACATTCCCAAGGAAGACCTGCACCTGCACTGCACTACCTCTACATCCAAGTGGGTTCTCAATACTTACAATCTAGCCAGTGCCAAAAGTTCATGTAATATTACTCTGGATTTACTGGGTTCAATAAAATCGTCACCTGCTTTTTACTTTTTAAAATGCGGCTACCAGAAAATTTAAATAGGTAGCTTACAATATATTTCAATGGATAGTGCTCTTTAAATTATAATTTTTGGGTAAAAAATGTAGAGAGAAGGAGGTGATTAACATAAAATTCAAGATAAAGTGTTGGTTAAGGGTGGAAGGTGTAGGAGGGAGGGAGTGGAGGAGTGCCACCTCCTTTCATAAATGATAGGTTCAGGATAACATTATCTCTGGTAATTCCTGAAGGGCTTCACACCACTGTTACTTTAATAAATTTGAAAAATTATTTTGGAAGTAAAATTAACCATCTTTACATTTAGAATCTCAAAATGAGACTACATGTTTCTGGTGTTCTTGGTCCTAGGGCAGGTACTAGGGAAGTTAAAAACCCAAAATGGGCCCTCCCTGGTGGCGCACCACGTTAAAGCACAGCACTAAGAAGCTAAAGCCACTTTAGCATGAGTTCGATTCCCACCTGACCCACCCACTGCTCCCCTCAGCAGTGTATTTCATCAGTCAGCCTGTTCTACTCCCCACTCTGTCTCTGGTGAATCCTCACAGCCCCTGCACCTCTGGCCTGTATCCCAGTTCTGTATGCGTAAGTAAATAAATAAAAAATAATAAACAAAAAAATGAGTCTTTTTCTAGAGTCCAGAAACTCAGAAAACAGCTTCACTGTGAAGGCCATGACCAGAGAGCCAAAGAGCTTTCATTTGTATCCCAAATCCACCATTGCTAAGGACAAACCTTAAGCAAGTAACTTCAACTTTCTGTGTCTATTGTGAGGGCCAAATTACTCTGGTATACATTTTAACACTTCAAATAGGTTAAGGAAGATTTAAGTACTTTTCTTAGGTGTTTGTTGTTATTTTTATTGTTATTTCTTCAAGAGGCAACCTAGATCCTGGATTTAAAATGAATACTATCCAAAGTCATCCTCTATACACATATGTAAGATGCAGAAGATCAAACAGCTTTCCTAAAATATGCTACACTTTTTTATCCAAAAATCAAAAATGACAACACTACTCGCCCACATCACAATCCAGCACGCAGTGCGCAAAGCTACGCTCCCTTTCAAGCAGCACTGGCCCTCCTTCGTAATTTTGGGTCTCACTCTCCTCCTTGACTCCCCCCTTCTTTTAACTGTTGCTAACATGAAAATCAGGTCTGGTGAAGAAAGAAGGACAAAATGGGTCACATTAAACTTTATACTGGCCAGAATTAAGTATTAATTTCGCATAAAGGATCCTAACGCAAGAACCAAAGCCTCCAAAGAAATGTTAAAGAGGAGCCTATCTATCTGTGTACCTTATATATTAAGTCAACTTACCTGTTCATCTGATGCTAGATTAGTGAATAATGGGACAATTTCGCTTTTCACACTGTCTAATTCCAGAACTTTTGCAAATTCACCCAATTTGGAAGCAGCAGCACGTCGTACCATCGGTGTATCATCTGAGCATAAGGAACGGAAATGCCTGTAGCAAAACGAAGGTATTTCCTATCAAATAACACTGATTAAAACACTCCCCAACAACACACAGATGGCCGTTTAGACGTTTTCTCTTACAGCATCAGTGTTTAGGTGTTTATGCCAACAAGTAACAAAGACAAACTCACTGGTATATACAATTGCATGATAAAAAGTGCTGTCAACAATCCTGCCCTCCTGCTATCAGCCAATCACTGGAACAGGGAGCCGAGTAAAATGCTAGTTATGAGTTCCCAAAACCCCAATAATTGAAAAAAAAAAAGCTGTATCTTACTGTCTAATTTCTGCTTTGACAGCATTTGAAGCCCTGGGGTAGCAAACGCTGAACAAACCACATGCAGATGTGCGAGACGTGAACCAATCCCCACTCGCCAGGCGTTTCACCAGAGGTACAAAATGCGCTTCCAGCGCAACAGTAGTATGCTCCTGGGAGATCTGCCTCAGCGACTCCACAGCCTTGTCTCGAACCACAGTCTCTTCCACGGTCGCCAGACTTTCCAGAGGAGGCTGAATAGACCAAAAAGGAAAACCAAAGGAAAAAACTTACTGAATCAGGTTAGATACAGATTATCACCTTTTAAAATGACTGAAGGGAGGGGGTACATGTAACCAGAATGTTAGCTACATCACACCAAATGGTTACTTTCAGTTCACACAGTGATAACATATGGTGTGTCCAACCTGAAGACACGACTTCTGTAGGACAGCCAAGATCTCATGTCCCAGATGGCAATTCCCAGATGGTGTCTACAAATGACACAGTGGAAGAGACTTGACACAGTATTAATATTATTGTGAGCTGACTCACTAAGTTTAGAAGACATGTAGCCCAATCCAGACGGATCGTGCATTATTTCCTTAAGAGTAAGAACCCAGCACTCCCTGGTGGCGCAGTGGGTTAAAGCACAGCACTAAGAAGCTAAAACTACTTCAGCGTGAGTTCAATCCCCAGCCCTGAAGGTGACCCACAGGGCGCAGCGGACCTCTCCTGACCTGCCGCCCGCTGCTCCCCTCAGCAGTGCATTCCCTCAGTCAGCCTGTTCTGTTCCCCACTCTGTCTCTGGTGAATCCTCTCATCGCCCCTGCACCTCTGGCCTGTACCCCAGTTCTGTATGCACAAATAAATAAATCTTTAAAAAAAAAAGTAAGAACCCAACACAACCGACACTTGGCACAGCACTGTTGTCGGGCTACCTGAGCCCAGGCTTTGGAGCAACCACAAGCCCCTAGCTCCTCCCCTTCAACCACATTAATCGAATCTTTAAAGGCAGAATACACCCAGAGGCTTCCCATAATTCAAGCATAGAGCAGGAGTTTAAAACAGAGCAGTTTAAGAAGTGTACAGAGAACAGCTTTAGAGACAGAGGACACAAAATAGGTTGCTCAGAAGACTAGCCAGTACGTGAACACGACATGACCTAATGAAAAGAAGAGGCTGGTTCTTTTGATTGCTTCCTTTCTGGGCTTACATTTGGTCGTGGTCAATTCAGATCTGCTAAGAGCCACAAATATGAAAGACAAATCCACATGCATAATCAAGAGAGTGAAACAAAAATATAATGGATTAAAGGAAAGAAGTCTACTTACGTCGTAATACATTTCAAAAATTTGGATACACAGAGGCGGGAAGTACTGTTTTCCTAGAAAGTATGTAAGAAGCCACCTGAAAAGCAACTGTTTTCTCTATAACGCCCATTCCTGGTGTGTCCCTTGCCCTCTCCAGCTTCCTCTCAAGCATTACCAATGGGTCATCCATCCGTCACTACTATATGACAAGGCCAACCTCCTGAAAACCGCGTAAGGATTGTCTCTTGATCTGAACTCTGCCTTCTGCAAGCCCTTTCCTACTGCCCCTACCATTCTTTTGCCTGCTCCAGCCCCAATACCTTTTACTTCTGCAACCAAACCTGCTTGGTCTTCTAAGCCTCTGAAACTCACTCTGCAATAATTATTGTGGTAGTCTAGTGCTGCCGATACAGAAGAAACAAGGCAAACAGGTTCCTTGCTCCAGTGAAGCGTACATTCTATGGAGGAAGGTAACTAACCAAGACAACAATTAGATGGTGATGAGTACTCTTAAAGAAACAGAATAGGATGACATGATAGAAGGTGACAAAGAGACAATTTCAGGTTGGGTGGCAAGGGAAGACCTCTTTGAAAAGATGCATTAAAGTTGAAATCTGAATGACAAGGAGTCAGCCACAGAAACCTCAAAAGAACATTTTATTAGATGGAATACCTAGGGCAAACATCTCAAGACAATAATAACCAGAGAACTAAAAGCAAACCAATGTGAGTGGAACAAAGCTCCCCTGGGTACTGGCATGAGGTAAGCTCACAGAGGTAGGTCAAGAAGGGTCTTGTAAGCTGTAGTACAAGCAAAGGTAGACTGTCTGAGAGCCACGGCAGGGTGTGATCCACCTGTTGTATAAACAGTGAGCTGCAGGGGCGGCGTGGGAGGCAAGAAAGGAAGGCAACCAGTTATGAAGTTCCTGTAGTAATTAAAAGGAAAGATCCTGTGGTTTGGAAAGACTAGAGAAAAAAAAAACTAGGTAAGTGGTAGTGTGGATGGAGGAGAGTAGAATGATTTAAAATAGACAAGTCCACAGAAGGTACTAATGGATTAGATGTAGGAAATGAGAGAAAGATTCAAAAATATTTTCTAGCCTTTGACCTGAGCAACTGGATAGATGGTGATGTCACGTACTGTGACAGGCAACTAAATGAAAGACATAAACGACATACTTACAGATAAAAACAGTTCTGTTTTAGGCATGTTAAACTCGAAATATCTGTCTGACATCGAAGCAGAAAAATCACAGGCAGACAGATTATACAGAGTAAGTGGATAGGTACATCTACTTTCTCGATAACTGGAGTTCCATGGAAAGATTGGAGACAGAGACTGAAATGGCGAGAGTAAGCATCATACCAACAGTGTTCAAAGCCCTGAAGTATATACCCCATCCTGTCCAACTGCTATATGGAGGCGTTCTTCAAATCCAAATTCACACATTGTTTCCTAAGAAGTCTACCTAATTAAGACTGTATATTTTCAGAGCTGGGAGCATCCTGAGGGGATAGTGAGCACAATTGCCCATTTTGTAAATCATTAAGAGCAGCTTATATGTATATATAACCAATTCTGGCTCATGTTTTCATTTATAAAATTTAATTTGAGATCTGAGAAGATACAATTCTTATTGCATACAGAGAAAGCACATTTTAGAGTTCAAATAAAAAAAAAAGAAGTCTACTTAATTATTATTTGAGTACCTCACATGTGCTTCTACTGTGCCATCTAACATTGTACAATAATTATTTTCTGACATATAAAGACAGAGACCTTACTCTAGCCACAATGGTCTTCTTTAACATTTAACTTTAATGCCAATAACACAACAGGCTCTAATAAATGTCGACTAAATTGAACAGAACTTATCAAATTCACAAAGTTGTAAGCAAAAGTTATGCTTACAATAAATACTGGATGGTGTTATTTATAGGTGGAATATAAAAAAAAATCAAACAAAGGGTCAAACCTTAACACCAACCCTTGGAAGAAGGGGTGGGGTGAGAAAGGGGGACAGGGCTATTGAAACAGGACTTAGGGGGAAGGCTGTGAGATGCTCTGGTGATGGGAGAGCTATGGTGATACTTCAGTAACAGTAATATCAATAATAGTAATTTTAAAAAGTTACTATTAATGACAAAAAAAAGTGTTTATACGGTTAAGATACTGGTGGATAAGTGTTGCTCTCCAGTTTGGGGTCAAAATAGCATAAGCAAAAACATACAAATTCTTTTCTTCCTAACCTCTAAAGTACCAGATAAGTCTTCAGAGACAAAGAAAAGGAAGAAGTTTTTGATCACAGTCAGACAAAATAAGAAAAATGCTAGCAGAGTCCAAAGTGCCTACATTATAGTTAACACTGTGTGTGGCTAGCAATTCAAAAAGAGAAAGATTTGCATTAAAAAATGTTCCAGTATGCCTAAGCCACACAATGTATCATTAATACTGCAAAAGTTCCAGCAGGAAAGGCTCAGGAAAGCGTACAAATACTCACCAACAAACAGTGAGCGAAGTCAGGTCCTCCCACTAAGCCTGTAAAATTTCCCAGCTGCTCAGCAAGAGCTAACAGTACTTCATCTTCATCATAAATTGTATCTGGAAATGACAACAAGAGGGTATTCATCAACAAGGACAGCTGGCCCAGAGCTGGACACTCACAAATGAGGAAAAGACTCCATCATAAGTAACTAATATAATGGTCCTGTCACAATCCCAACAGCATTTTCTTCCTTGTCCATCAACAGTCTACCTGGATTTCCTTTGCAGAATGAATTAGCAATTCATCATTTTATATCAATTACTTCACTTATTAGCTAAATGGGTAAGTCTGAGTATGTGAGGCCTCATTACAATAGATTCTGTCCTTTTTCTTTTGCACAGAAGGCACCAGGTTTAGTTTTAGTACTTAAGTTAGTATTTCCAGTTTTGGAAGTCACTGGAAAACAGGAATGTCCATGCCTTTCAGCAAAGCTTCACATACCTGTAAGGAATGGCAGCAACTCAGTTCGAGTCCTTTCTACTCCAAGTGCCAGAGCAATTGTTGATAATTTCTTAATACTGTTGAGACGGAGCTATAATAGAAGAAAGTGGAAAGAAAACCGAGGTTAAGAAACAGTTGTGATCTAGATCAAAAGACAACAGCTGAAAATGGGTGATAATGACATTGGGGTAACCTTCCACTTAGAATTTGCTCTGTAAGGAGCCTCAGGAGCAGTGTAAAGTGGGGCTTCATTACCCAAAGGCAGATTTCTCAGAAGCACTCTGAAAGGGCCCATTCAAGAAATGAATGAAAGAGCACACAATACCCAGGAAGTTAGCCAACTTGAAAAAGAGAGCACTTGGGCAGTGATGAAGCAGGTGAAACGGTTGGATTACAACTCCTGGCTTTTCAAAGAAAAGTTCCATCAGAGCTGATAACAACGACTCCCCTGGGTTAATAAGCCATCCCACCCTTTTTCTACCCAACAAGCCGGGCCAGTTTCCAAGGCATTCATTCACCTGCACTCCAAAGGGCCCTCCGCCATCCCTGCCGCCCGCTCCAGCCCCGCGCGGCCCGCCGCCTCCGTCCCGCCCGCCTCTCACCAGAGACCAGCCCCGGGCGGGACGCCGCGCTCCCACCCCACTCGGGGCCCGGGAGCGAAGCCGGTTCTCCACAACCGCCAGGACCCGGGGGGCAGCCGCGCCGGCCCTCCGGGCTGTGAAGGAGGGGCGCAGGAGAGGGCCGGGCCGGGCCCCACAGCCTCTCCGGTCGCTGCCCGCCTCCCCGTCAAGTTTCTGCCGGAGTCCCGCTCTTTCAAACCCCAGGCCTGCCCACACGATGCCGGCCTGCCCTCTTCCCTACCACGCGCTCGGCCGGGCCCGCACCGGCTTCTCAGTCTGACTCCAGTACCTGCACATCCTCATTGCGGAGCTCGTCGATTAAAACCGCGATCGGG